GGCCCGTCAGCGTCTTCACAACGTAGTCGTTCTGCAGCATGGGCCACGCACCAAGTCAGTGTGTGGCACACATCACCGCACACGCACCACCGCACACGCGCAGACACGACACACGCACCACCGCACACGCACGCGCACATACGGAAGAGGGGGGGGGTGCATGCGCGTACGCGTTCTTCGGCCGCGCAGTAGTCTGACTCGGAATCGTCCGAGTCGTCGGTCGAGTCGCTGCCTTTGTTGTTGGCCCGGGCCTTCTTGCCCCGCTTGCCCTTCCCGGGCCCGCGCCTGTTGGACGGCGCCGTCGCCGAGCTCTTGTTCAGCGTCATCTTGTCCCTCGTGCCCGCGCGACCCACCGTCAGGCGCGTCAGGAATGCTGCACCGCACACGGGCACGACACGACACGACACGACACGACCAACGACACGACCAACGACACGACACGACACGACACGACACGACACGACACGACACGACACGACACGACACGACACGACACGTAAGAGAGAGTTGAGTGGAAGGGGGAGGGGGAGGAGAGGGGCGAACCGCGCGTCTGGGTGGACTTGGCCTTGAGGAGGTTCTCGAACTTCTTGCGGCCCTCGGTGGACTCGTCGTGGCGCGGGTTGTTGAGGCCCGCCACCGGAATGTACTCCTGCTCCTCTCCGCCCTCGTCGAAATCATCGTTCGGCCTTCGCATGTGTGCGGTCGTGCGTGTGCGGTGTGTGCGGTGTGTGCGTGTGCGGTGTTAGTCAGGGGCGAGTGCAAGCGGGAGGTGGGGGCGCGAACCGTAGGGAGCTGCGGCGGGAGTCGGCCTCGAGTTCGGCGGTGAGTTCGGTGGCGCGGGTCATGTTGGAGAGGAGCTGCTCGATGATGGTGGTCCGCTCCTCGCTCAGCTGCGCCGCCGTGCTCATCTTCCCCACGAACCGGCGCACCAGCTCCACGCTCGTCCCCAGCGTGAGCATCTTATACGCTGGCCACCGCACACACACGACACACGACACATCAGCATTGCGTGTCGTGTCGTGTCGTGTCGTGCGGTGAGAGGGGAAGTACCGAAGGTGGCGAGGCAGTCGAAGATGATGTTCTCCTCTTTGGAGATGAGCTCCTCGCGCTTGGACTGCTCGAGCGAATCCCACTGCCGCATGCTGCTCCGGCAGTCGCCGTCGTAGAGCTTGTTGAACTCCTCCTTCACCTTGTCTGTCGTTTGACCCACCAAAAAATAGTGAGCACAACACGACACACACGACACGACACACGCACCACCGCACACACAACGACACACACGACACACGTGTGCGATTGGGGGAGAGGGGGTAATGACCATAGAAGCTGCGCTCCCAGAATCGAAGGTTTTGCCAGGCGTCGTGGTTGACCAGGTGCGAGTGGACAAAGTCCTGCACGCCCTGCAGCTTGGGGTTGTTGTAGTTGAAATGGAAGGCCGCCTCCATCACCAGCCCGCAGCTAGACATGGGGGGTAGGAGGAATGCAAGGAATGTTTAGTACGTGTGTGCGGTGGCGCGTGTGCGTGTGCGGCCGCACGCGATGAAGACTCGCATGGAAGGTGCACCTGTAGAAGTCGTCCTTGTCCGACGCCTCACGAAGACAGGCCTTCATGAGCTCCGTCAGCTGCGCGAACGACCGCCCACTCAGCTGTCCCTCCTTTGGCTGTGCGTGTGCGGTTGTGCGTGTGCGGTCATGCGTGTGCGTGTGCGGTGAGTCGGCGAGTTAACATCTCGAGGAGGAGGGGAGGAGTAGTTTACCGATCGCTTGACCTCGGCCTCTATGGCGCGGGCGAACTCCAGGCGGAGGGCCTCGTCCTTGAGCCGCTCGAAGAGCTTCGACATGTCCTCCGTCTCGAGCGCCCGTCCACCGCCGCCGCCGCTGGCCCCCTTCTCCTCGCTGTGCTCGAACAGGGTCTGCATGCACCCCACCAGCCACTTGCGCTCCCGCCGCTCCTCCTTGCTCACGCAGGTCTGCAGCTCCGTCATCGCCCCCTCCTCGCCATCACCGCCGCCGCCGCCGCCGCCGTTCTCCTCCGACGTCGGCTGGGCCTCGCCGCCCGTGGTCGTCTCACCACCGGCCGCCGCCGCAGGGCTGGTGGTCTCGGCCGCTGCTGCGCTGCCGTTCTCCGCTGCGTGGCTGCTGCCGCCGCCGAGGCCTGGAATGGGCGGGAGCTTGCCGAAGCGGGACTTGCGGCGGACGATCTTCTTCTTCTGGGCCATCACCTTGTCGTCACCGCCGCCGCTGCTGCCCTCGCCGCTGGCCCCGTGGTCCTTGTCCGCCCCGGCAGAGTCGTCAGCGGCGGCCGTCGGCGGCGGGGGCTGCGGGCGGCCGATCAGCGGGAACCGCTCGGGGTCCACGTCTGGTATGTGTCGACAAATACGTGAGATAGTTCGAGGCGCGATGGGGGAGGTGGTGTGGCACGCACGTGAGCCTGGGTGGAAGGAAACGGGCGGGGCTGGGACGACGACGGTGCGGGTCTGCGTCGGGCGGGCGAGCTGGGCCAACACCTGGTCGAGTTCCAGGTCGAAGAGGGCGGCGTCGATGGACTGATCGAACACGTTGGCGCGCGGCCACGAGTGGCGATTGAGGAAACTCGTGAACAGTTGCGTCTCCAAGAACGGCTCAAACCAACCCTGCGTTCATCATACCATCGTCAGACCCACGACACGACAGACCGACACGACACGACACGACACGACACGACACGACACGACACACACAGAGAGAGAGGAGTACCGCGGCGTCGGGTCGGAGGAGGAGGAAGTTCTTCTTGTTGAAGATGGCCATTGGTTCGGGGAAGACGCGGATGTAGGTGAGGTGGTCCCGGTAGTTGCGGAACAGCGACACGAAGAACATCAGGAACGCGTGTCGGATGGCCTCGTCGAACCGCGTCGTCACAGCGCTGCCCGCGGCCGCCGCGCTGCTGCTCGACAGCGACAGCGAAGAAGACGACGATGACGTGGCTGCCGAAGTGGTGACGATGTGGGCCGACGGAGCGGCGTGATAGGCGGTGGAGTGGTGGCGTGGCGAGATGGGCGCCTGGTAGGTGGACTGGCGGTGCGCGGCCGACCCGGCGGCGTGGGTGCGCTTGAGGAGCGAGGCGGCGGCCGGGGCGCGCGACGACGAGTAGTAGTCGTCGAGGTAGAAGAGGTCGTTGTGGAGGAACTTGCGCAGCTCTGAGACGAGGATGGCGTGCTCGGGCTCGGGCAGCGGCGGCACCTGGGCCTGCACGCTCTCGGGCACCACGATGCGGTTGTGGTCCAGGTCGACCACCACCACCTGCTCACGCGTGAGCGTCGTGTAAGCGCGTGTCGTCCGGTGGTGCGCTGTGGTGTGGTGGGGGGGGGAGAGAGAGATCTGAACCTCTGTTGAATAGGGGGCGATCTCGTCGGGCTTGTAGTAGGACTTGTGGATGCCCATGATGAACGGGGTGGGGCTGCCCACGAACTCGGTCAGGCAGGCGGGCAGGACCGGCACGAACACGTGCTGCCACTCGAACGGATACAGGAGTGATCGAATCGATTCTGGAAACACACGCGCACAAAAGTGAGAACACGACACACGACACGACACGACACACGCCGCACGACACACACGACATGGGATAAAGGTAGGACGCGAGTACCGGAAACGTAGGTAAGCAGCGTGAACTGGCTGCTCACCAAAAGCAGCTTCTGCTCCATCAACACCGCGGAGAAGAGCAGCAGCACGTTGTCGATGTCCAGCACCTCGAAGAGGAAATGGAGCGGAATCTGATGTATATGCATCAGCGACCATATAACAACATAATTCTATGACAATATAACACAAGAAATGACAATGTATCTATAAAAAAAGGGAAGATGACAAAGTACGTCGGTCATGGGGAACTTGTTGTCCACAGGGCTCATGAGCAACTGCTTCTCGCCGAGCGTGAGGCTGAGGCCGACGGACGGTTGGGGCATAGGCACCTTAGGGGCGCACACATCAGTTGGAGGTGAGACACGACGGGGGGGGGCACGATGAGGTGACGAGAGAGGGAGAGGTTTGTACCTTGTCGATGAGCTGCACGATGAAGGCGTCGATCATGGAGTGGGGCAGCTCCTTGGAGAGGGAGTAGACCCCGCAGAGCCAGTCGCGGAAGAAGAGTGTGAAGGAGTAGCGCGAGAGAATGCAGATTGACTTGGGCGCATACAGCTTCTTCGGCAGCGCTCGCTTAATCTGTGCATTCGCGTGCGCGTGCGGCACGAGTGAGTGTTGTACACAAGCCACACACACACACACACACCACACACACGGTCGAACGACGCACCATTGCTTCTTTGTTAGTTGAGGTGGCGAGAGAGCTGCTGTCGCTCGACGTTGGAGAATGGGGAGCCTCGGACGACCGTCGGTCTGCCAGCCAGCAGGTGATAAACAACATGTCCCCAATCAGTCAGACACACGACACACGACACACGACACACGACACACGACACACGACACACGACACACGACACACGATGCGAGGAGACGAACCTTCGCCGGTGTAGAAGGTGTGGTAGAGGTCCTGCACTTCGGCGGCGCTGAGCTGCTCGTAGAAGGTGAGGGAGGCGCCGTAGAGCTGCGTGCCGTCTTCGGCGGTGAGGACCACGGGGAAGTAGAGCGGCTTGGGCGGATCCCGGTCCTTCAGCACCATGCCGCGCGGGAAGCAGAACTTTGGTTCGCGCGCCAAAGACAAGTCGTGAGCCGTGAGGAGAGCAGAGCAGAGCAGAGCAGAGAAGAAGGGCTCGCACCATCCAAGTGTGCGGCGGGAAGGGGACGTCGGGGCGGTCCTGTTCGGGGTAGCGCGCCAGCAGGCCGGCCTTGAACGCCACCTGCAGCGGCGTCACCGAGCCAGCCCTCGCTTTGAACGCAATATTATTATTAATTAATTAATATATAATATAGAGTGAAATAATAAAGAGTATTATCAATAATAATTATAAGTATAAAATTAGTGTACCGCTGTTGGGGCCTCGCGAGCTGCCGCCCCCGCCAGTGCGAAAGCTGCCCTCGTCGTAGGTGAGCAGCGGCCGCCCCGTTTCCCACCCGAAGGTGAGAAAGTAGTGCGCAAAGAAACTGCCACCAGGCTGGTTGCCGTTTCCACTGACGTCGCCTGGCCCTGCTGCCGCGACCTCCTTGCCCGCTGCTTTCGCCTCACCCTTGGCTCCTTCGCCTTCTGTGCCTGCCCGGTCTCGAGGCGAATTCAGGGCCAGCGGGGGCACTACCACCGCAGACGATTTCTTTGTCTCCTCCATCTCGCTTTTCCGTTTCGTTCGAAAACGTAAACAGAACCTCCTTCCTCCAAGAAAGCTCTCTTATCTATCAATCTATGAATCTATCAAGCGATGCTGATGATTGCTATGGCCGCGTCGCATTTGTGTGCCCTGTGTCGCACGGGTCGACATAAAACATCGAGATGTTCAGGTGCGAAATTTCGTCGTATGTCTGACGTCAGCAGTCGACAGGAAAAGCTGAACCGAGAGTATCGAGGCTGGTCCTTTTATTGGGAAGAGACACGCAAACGCACGTAGCACACCCCGCAGCAGCACGAAGTCGCCTACTAGACAGGAGCCGCATGCGCTCGGTTGTAGTCGCGCGACACGAGACCCGCAGCAGGGCTACCTCCTTGCTCGATAGGGCGAGTAGCGGCCTCTGGGGCAGCCAAGGAGGTCTTTTCACGCACCACGCCAAGGGGGGCCACCTTCGAACAACAGCTTCAGCAACAACCAAGGCCAGGGCCAGCAGCCGCTTGCTGAGTACCGCGGCTGCGGCTGCAACGAGAACTTTGAACGACGACGCGCTGTTCGCCAGGGAGGCGCACAGGTGGGACCCCCAGGTGCCCATTGAGCGGGCCACCACGCCTCCCGCCTCGTGGTATACAAGCCCCGAGGTCTTTAGAAGAGAGGCGCCCCTCGTCTTCCACCGCGGCTGGCAGCAAGGTACCGTGCCGTGGCCTTCAGGCGTGGTGGGAAGTGGTGCATGGTCTGAGCAGTTCTGTTTGGTGGCAGTGGGGAGGACTGAGCAGGTGAAGGACGCTGGGCAGTACTTCACTGGCGAGTTGCTGGGGGAGCCCTACGTAGTGGTGCGGGACCAAGAGGGGCAACTGCGCGCCTTCTTCAACGTGTGCCGTCACCACGCCTCCAAAGTTGCCACGGTACGTCGCGTAACCCACAAAGCAAATGCGTGTCGCTTCGGCACCGCAGCTTGCTGATGCCTTGGCGACCGGCCCACACCTTACCCAGGGCGAAGGCTGCAAGAGCGAGCTCGTGTGCCCCTACCACGGGTGGACGTACCAGCTCGATGGAAGGCTGCGAGTCGCGCCTCGAGTGGGTGGTATCAAAGGTGGGTTGACCTGGACGCCGCCGATTAGTTGGGATGCTGGAGGTAACGAATTTCGCTGATGCGCTGCCCCGTTCGTTGCGTGTGTTGGCTGCGAGCAGAATTCAAGCCCAAGGAAAATGGGCTGGTGCCGATCCAGGTCATCGAGTGGGGAAGGTGGATCTTTATCAACATTGGTACGGCCCGCACAGCGGAGATGGCGCACAAGATCAAACTGAGCAGGCGGCTGGTAAGATGGTAACGTGGCTTGTGCGTGACCTCCACAGATTCATCTTCCGACACGGATCTGCACGAGGAACTGAAACCACTAGAGGACGTCCTGGAAAGCACGCAGTACCGCAAGTTGGAGTACATGTGCACGCGAAACTACAAAGTGAAGTCAAACTGGAAGGTGCGCTCGCACATGGACAGATTGAAGAGGGTGCCTGGAGCAGTATGCACCTCGTCCATTCACACACTCGTTGCTCCTGCCAGGTGTATGTGGATAACTATCTCGACGGCGGCTACCACGTGTCAGTTTTGCACAAGACGCTCAACGCTCAGGTACGCCGCTCCCTTGATGAAGAGTTGGCCTTTGTTGCGGCGCCACTGACACAGGTGACTGCCGTCATTGCAGCTGGACGCAAGCCAGTACTCTACCCAGGTGCACGGCAGATGGTCCCTTCAGAGCTGCCAAGGGACAAACAACCAGGTCAGTGCCGGCACCTTTTGCTGACTAATGAACTGATCGTGCCACTTACACTCGGTGCGCGGGTGCTTACATCGCGCAGATGGAGGAGCAGCTGTTGCAAGAGCGAGTGGGGAAGCAGGGCGCCCACTATGCCTTCCTGTACCCCAACTTTATGATCAATCGCTACGGCAACCTCATGGATACCAATCGGTACTCCACCCACAGGCCTGTTTGATCCCGCTTGCCGCGCAGTATTTGACAGCATCTTTTGTTGGTTGATGCTCTAGGGCTATACCCATATCTGTGGACGAAACGTTGGTCCAGTTCGACTACTTCATGCTCAAGGATGGCGATACCGATCAGGAGAACCAAACGAAGAAGGTAACTCTTCGTTCATTCATTCATTCTCTGCAAGCTCTCTTTGTTGAGTTGCTTACGTACTTGGGCTCTGGCAGGAGATGGTAAAGGCGCTGCCAGAGTCGCTGGAGGCCAGCATCCGCATCAGCGACGGGATCCAGGACGAAGACGCCTGGGTCTCGGAGATGGTGCAGCAGGGCCTCAACTCGCGAGCCTACGACGTCGGCCGGTACGCGCCGCAGGTGGAGACCGCCGCCTACGCCTTCCACCAGCTCCTGGCCTCTGACTTCCGCCATGGCCTGCAACCATCACAGTGACCATCAGCTGGTTATGACTTCACCCTCACCACCTTCTTCCTGTGGTGGTAACTTTCCATGAATTGTGCGTTACCGGTTATTTCTCGGTAAGTTGCGATTCACAAGAAAATTCACTCGAACCAATCGTAATTAAACGTCGACGTGGGACGGCCATAAAAGGCGGCTGGTGGTCGCCCGTTGTTTTTTTCTCTTGTAGCCTCCCGCGCAAAGCCCCAAAGCCCGCTCATAGAAAAGCTACAGAGGAGGAACCCCTCCGTTTGCAGCTCTTTGTGGTGGTCTTCTGGTGCTGTGCTGCTGCCGTGGGTGAGCGAGGTCGTTTTATTTATTTGGATAGGTCATCAATTGGGGTGAAGTGGTTCGAGGTCGAGAGATAGAGAGCGAAGATGCATACCCTCTTCCCTCATTCATCGGCCGAGCTGCGCAAGGTGGGCAAAATCCAGTTCGGTGTGCTGAGCCCTGATGAAATCGTACGGCTAGCTCGCATCATTGGTGCCCCATTGTTAAATGGCCGAGCGATTTCTCTTTCTCTCAGTGTCTGACCCACCCATTTGACACAATGTGCAGCGGCAAACGTCAGTGGCAAAGATCGAATTCCATGAAGCCTACGAACAGGGGAAGCCCAAGATGAAGGGCCTCCTCGATCCCCGGATGGGAACCGTAGATCGGCAGATGAAGTGTGCCACCTGCTCGGGTTCGATGACAGAGTGTCCCGGTCACTTCGGGCACCTCGAATTGGCCAAGCCGGTGTTCAACATCGGGTTCCTCACTACGGTGCTCAAGATTCTGCGCTCGGTCTGCTTCCATTGCTCCAAGCTGCTCGTTGATGAGGTGAGGCTCGCTTTCCTTTCGCCCCCCCCCTCCCCCAATGCATCACTGACCCCCCCTGCGTAGAACGATGCCCGGTTCAGGGAGGCGCAGGAGCTCAAGAATGTGAAGCATCGCTTCGCCAGGGTCTACACACTCGCCAAAACGAAGACCATCTGCGAGGGAGGAGAGGACACGGGGACGGACAAGGAGCAGGGTGATTCGACGGATCCGAAGGAGAAGAAAAAGGTGAAGAAGAGCCATGGAGGCTGCGGCAACTTCCAGCCGAAGATCACGAAGGATGGAATGAAGATCATGGCCGAGTTCAAGAACGTGGGCGACGACCCGAACGTGGAGAAGAAGCAGCTCCTCACGGCAGAGAAGGTGCACGCGATTCTCAAGCTCATCTCGGACGAAGATTGCCTCGCGATGGGATTCGACCCGAAATGGGCTCGGCCGGACTGGATGATCATCACCATCATGCCCATCCCTCCGCCTCCCGTGCGACCCTCGATCATGATGGACAGCGCGGCGCGCGGCGAGGACGACTTGACGCACAAGCTGGCCGACATCATCAAGGCCAACGCCAACCTGCGCAAGCAGGAGGCCAATGGCGCGGCGGCCCACATCATCTCCCAGTTCCAGGAGCTGCTGCAGTACCACATCGCCACCTTCATCGACAACGAGATCCCCGGCTTCCCGCAGGCCACCGTGCGCTCGGGCAGTCGCGCGCTCAAGTCGCTCAAGCAGCGCCTGCGCGGCAAGGAGGGCCGCATCCGCGGCAACCTTATGGGCAAGCGCGTCGACTTCTCCGCGCGTACCGTCATCACCGGTGACCCCAACATCTCCATCGACGAAGTCGGCGTGCCGCGCAGCATTGCGCTCAATCTCACCTACCCCGAGCTCGTCACGCCCTTCAACATCGACAAGTAATGCGTCTCCTCCTGACAGGCTTGTGCTCAAGACCTGACCTTGTTCACCACCTTCTTCTTTATTAACGCTCTTCTTCGCCTTTGTTGAATGCTAGGATGTACGAGCTGATCCGCAACGGACCGACAGAGCACCCCGGTGCCAAGTACATCATTCGAGACGACGGGCAGCGTCTGGATCTTCGATTCGCGCGCAAGGCCAGCGATCTCCACCTGGAGTACGGCTACAAGGTGGAGCGACACATCCAGGACGGCGACGTGATCATCTTCAACCGACAGCCGTCGCTGCACAAGATGTCCATGATGGGCCACAAGGTCAAGATCATGCCCTACTCGACGTTCAGGCTCAACCTTTCCGTCACGACGCCCTACAACGCCGATTTCGACGGTACTACCATCAATCGAATCAATTAATGGTGTGGCCGTAGTTCGTTCATCGTTGTTGGCTTACATGAATGTGTCGTTTGCAGGTGATGAGATGAACATGCACGTTCCTCAGACGCCCGGCGCGAGGGCCGAGGTGATCGAGCTCATGATGGTGCCCAAGCAGATCGTGACCGCCCAGTCCAACAAGCCCGTCATCGGTATCGTGCAGGACACGCTGCTCGGCGGTTGTCTGCTCACCCAGAGGTACGCGCTCACACTTTAGTTGTTGTGGGCAACATGGTGCTCATCGGCTGTCGCACTCTTCTTCTTCTTCTTCAGGGACACGTTCATCGAGAAGGACGTCATGATGAACATCCTGATGTGGCTCGAGTCATGGGATGGCACGGTGCCCACGCCCACCATCCTGAAGCCCAAGCAGCTCTGGACTGGCAAGCAGGTGTTCTCGCTCATCATTCCGCGGAACACCAACTTCGTCAACGCCGACGACGAGGAGCCCGACATGAGCTTCACCGACAACAAGGTGCTGATCGAGGAGGGCGAGCTCGTGAGCGGCATCCTCAACAAGAAGACCCTCGGTACCTCGCACAAGTCGCTCGTGCACGTCATCTGGAACGAGCACGGCTCCGAGGTCTGCAAGCACTTCCTCAACCAGGTCCAGCACGTCGTCAACTACTGGCTCCTGCACCACGGTTTCTCCGTGGGCGTGGGCGACACCATCGCCGACGAGGAGACCCTGGCCAAGATCACACAGACCATCCGCAAGGCCAAGGTACGTCTCTCGACGTCTCTGCACGTCTCTTACCCTGCGCTCTAACGTGAGGGGTGGTGGTCGTACAACAATAGGACGAGGTGAAGGAGCGTCAGCTTGAAGCGCAGCAGGGTCAGCTTGAGCGTCAGCCCGGTAGGACGATGATGGAGTCCTTCGAGTTCGTCATCAATCAGATCCTCAACAAGGTCTCTCCCTCCGCTGAAGAATAATAGAGTGAGGAAGGAACCACGCGAACTAACATTGACGCATACAGGCTCGTGACGATGCCGGTAACAGCGCGCAGAAGTCGCTGAGGCGATCCAACAACTTCAAGGCCATGGTGATTGCCGGGTCCAAGGGTTCGGCGATCAACATCTCGCAGGTGCTCGCCTGCGTGGGTCAGCAGAACGTCGAGGGCAAGCGCATCCCCTTCTGCTTCCGCGACCGAACGCTGCCGCACTTTGTGAAGGACGACTTTGGCCCGGAGTCGCGTGGCTTCGTCGAGAACTCGTACCTGCGCGGCCTCACCCCGCAGGAGTTCTTCTTCCACGCCATGGGTGGTCGCGAGGGTCTGATCGATACGGCCGTGAAGACGGCCGAGACGGGCTACATCCAGCGACGCCTCGTGAAGGCCCTCGAAGACGTGATGGTCAAGTACGATTACACGGTGCGTAACTCGCTCGGCGACGTCATCCAGTTCCTCTACGGCGAGGACGGCATGGACGGGCAGACGGTCGAGACCCAGCCGCTCGACGCGCTCAAGATGTCGAACGAGGGCGTGGTCCTCAAGTACCAGCACGACTACGACTCGCCCAGCTGGGGCGAGGGCTGGATCGACCCGGTCATCGCCGACGCCATCGCCAACTCGCCCGAGAAGAAGCGCATCCTCGACAAGGAATTCGAACAGGTACGAACTGAGTACACTGTGCGTGTGTGTGTGCGGTCCTCTGTGCACGGCTAAGAGTCGCGTTTCCTCTCGCGTGCGTAGATCCTTGCGGACAGGCGTCTGCTCCGAGAGAAGATCTTCCTTGCCGGTGACGACAGGTGGCCGCTGCCCGTAAACCTCACCAGGATGATTCTCAACGCCCAGAAGATCTTCCACCTTGGTCCGAAGAAGGTGAGCGACCTCGATCCGTGCCAGATCGTCGAAGGTTCGTTTCAACTCCCCTCTCCCCACCAACCACCCAACACGACCAATATTTGTCCACTTTTGACTAAACTGCGGCGTTGCCATTTATTCAGATCTGGGCAACTTGATCGAGAGGTTGGTGGTGATTCCCGGCCAGGACGACATCAGTAAGGAGGCGCAGGCCAACGCCATCCTGCTGTTCTCCATCCTGCTGCGATTCACGCTTGCGTCGCGTAGAGTGCTCCAGGAGTACCGGCTCGACCAGATCTCGTGGTACGTGCATCGATGGCCACGCTTTCTCTCTTTTTATCGCTTCCTTACTGAGCTTGATGCGTCGTCGTCGTCATCATCAGGGATTGGTTGCTGGGTGAGATCACGGATCGGTTCTACAAGTCGCTGTGCGACCCGGGTGAGATGATCGGCGCGCTGGCGGCGCAGTCCATTGGCGAGCCCGCCACGCAGATGACCCTCAACACGTTCCACTTTGCCGGTGTGTCGGCCAAGAACGTCACGCTGGGCGTGCCCCGACTCAAGGAGCTCATCAACATCGCCAAGACCATCAAGACGCCCTCGCTCACGGTCTACCTGAAGCCCCACTGCTCGAGGGATCACGAGGCCGCCAAGAATGTACAGTGCTCGCTCCAAGCATACCACGCTGCGCGACGTCACCGCCGCGACGGAGATCTTCTACGACCCCGACCCCGTCAACACGGTCATCACCGAGGATCAGGACTTCGTCCGGGCCTACTTCCTCATGCCCGAGGAGGAGATCAACAGTACGCACGACCTCTGGTCGCTTTCGTTTCCCTCCCCCCCACTGATTGTGTGCTCACCTCTTCGTTCTTTCTTCAGCGTCGAACCTGTCGCCGTGGTTGCTGCGCATTGAGCTCAATCGTGAGAAGATGACGGACACGAAGCTCTCGATGCAGGAGATCGCCGAGCGCATTCATGCCGACTTTGGCGGCGATCTGAACTGCATCTACAACGACGACAACGCCGACAAGCTCATCCTCCGAATCCGCATCAACAACGACGAGGAGAACAAGGCGCCCGACCAGGAAGGCTCGGTGGGCGATGACGACGTGTTCCTGAAGCAGATCGAGAGCAACATGCTCACGGAGATGGACCTCAAGGGTATCGAGGGCATCAAGAAGGTGTTCATCCGCGAGGACAAGAACAAGGTGGCCATCGACGCCCGCGGCGAGTACACCAAGGCCAACGAGCTCGTGCTCGACACGGAGGGCACCAACCTGCTCGCCGTCATGTCCCACCCCGACGTCGATCACACAAGGACCACCTCCAACAACATCATCGAGATCATCGAGGTCCTCGGCATTGAGGCCGTGCGAAACGCTCTTCTCAGGGTTCGTTCCATTACCGCACACACTGCACACGCACACCGCACACGCGCGTGCTGAACTCACACTTTGTCCACCTACAGGAGTTGCGTAACGTGATCTCGTTCGACGGTGCCTACGTGAACTATCGCCACTTGGCCATCCTGGCCGACGTGATGACTTACCGCGGTCATCTGATGGCCATCACGCGTCACGGCATCAACCGAGTGGAGACCGGCTGTCTGATGCGCTGCTCGTTCGAAGAGACGGCCGACATCCTGCTCGAGGCCGCCACCTTCAGCGAGCTCGACCCGCTCAGCGGCGTGTCGGAGAACATCCTGCTCGGCCAGCTGCCCCCGCTCGGCACCGGCTGCTTCGATCTCTTCCTCAACGAGAGCAAGCTCAAGGACGCCATCGAGCTCCCCGCCGGCGGCGAGGCCACCGCCATGTTCTACGAGCCCGGCGCCACCTCCCCCGGCTCCGCTACTCCCTACATGGGTAGCGACGAACGGTACCTACCTAACTTCTTCCACACGTTTCCTCACTCTTCGCTTTTTTAGGTTCTTCGCTTTCGCTCTTTGGTTTGTGCGCTGATCTTTGTGATGTGTTCAAACCCAGGACGCCCATGTACCGCATGTCGCCGGGCGCCACGCCGGCGGCGTCGTACTCGCCCTATGTGGACTTTGGCGAGTTCTCGCCCGGCCGGGGCTCCTTCTCGCCCTCGCCCTCGTCGCCAAGCTACTCGCCGGCCTCGCCCGGCTATTCCCCGGCTGGCGCGGGCTACAGCCCCTCGTCGCCCGGCTATTCACCCTCATCGCCCGGGTACTCGCCCTCGTCGCCCGGGTACTCGCCGGCCTCGCCCGGTTATTCGCCCTCGTCGCCGGCCTACTCCCCCACCTCTCCCAAGTACAGTCCCGCCTCTCCCTCCTACTCCCCCACCTCGCCGGCCTACTCTCCCACATCGCCCTCCTACTCTCCGTCGTCGCCTTCGTACTCGCCGACCTCGCCCTCCTACTCCCCCACGTCGCCTTCCTACTCGCCGACCTCTCCCTCCTATTCGCCGGCCTCGCCCTCGTACAGCCCGACGTCGCCCTCCTACTCGCCGTCGAGTCCGAGCTACTCCCCGTCGTCGCCTTCCTACTCTCCCTCATCGCCCTCCTACTCCCCGTCGTCGCCCTCGTACAGTCCCTCGTCGCCCTCCTACTCGCCTTCGTCGCCTTCCTACAGTCCCTCGTCGCCGGCCTACTCCCCGTCGAGCCCGAGCTACTCGCCGTCGTCGCCGGCTTACAGCCCCTCGAGCCCGTCCTACTCGCCGTCGTCGCCCTCCTACTCGCCGTCGAGCCCGAGCTATTCGCCGTCGTCGCCGGCCTACAGCCCCTCAAGCCCGAGCTACTCGCCATCGTCGCCGGCCTACTCGCCGGCCTCGCCCGCCTACAGCCCGTCGAGCCCGAGCTACTCGCCGGCCGACTCGGACGACAAGAACAAGGGCAAGTGAGTGCGTGATACAAAGCTGACTACAAGAATAAATCACACAACACGCGTGTGCGTTCACAAAAGAACCACTCTTCTTTGTGTGCGTGTGTCGTGTTGTGTGCGATGTGAAATTTCAAGGGTGGAAATAGTTGAGAAAATAATTGAGAAGAAATTGGATTAATTAGGTTTTCTTTTTTCCTTCTTTCCGCGGTTTGCGATTGGGGTGCATCTCAACGCGACATCCATCTCCTCTTCTTCCTCTCCTTCGTTCTCGTGGCCTCTTTTTGGAGCTCCTCCGCCCTTCCAGCCCTCCCGCCCTTCTCACGCGCAACGCATTAACGATGGCGGAACCCCTTATTCCCTTCCCTGGCCCTCTGCTGCCCGTCATCTGTGGCGGCCATTCTCGCCCCGTGCCGGCCTTCCACTTCAGCCCCACCCCCGATGGCGTCTTCATCTCGAGCGGATGTCTCGGTACAACTTCATCTACGCAGATTGCGTGTTTACGCTACACAAATCGCGAACACATCTTCATTTCGCGATGCCATTTGGCGATTTATGTAGAATCACCTTGCGCATCGATGCATGATCCCAATGTTTGCGTTATATATCAATTGACACGGAAATGGATTGATTTAACGATTTTTTCGCAAATCTGCAGATGGAAATGCGATGCTGCGTCAGGACACTGGAGACTGGATCGGTACCTTCCTCGGCCACAAGGTGCACATCTCTCTCTCTCCCCTCATGGATGATGATTGAGTCTCCTCCTCGTGTGGCGCGAGCACTCACACGAGATGGGGGTTGTGTCGCTCAGGGTGCCGTGTGGAGCGCCCGCTTGGACCAGCAGGCCAACCACATCGTCACCGCCTCCGCCGACTACAACGTGTACGCTCCATTCCTCCTTTCTTTCATTCAAACGACACGCGGTGTGCGTGTGCGGTCGTGCGTGTGTGCGGTTCGATCGAAGCTCATGCGCCACACACCACCAGTAAGGTGTGGAGCGCGCTGAACGGCGACGAGCTGCACAACTTCGAACACAAGAGGATCGTCCGCTCGGCCGACTTCGCTCCCGTACGCCCCTCAGCCGCATCTCGCGCCGTGCTCACAACGACACGACACGACCAACGACACGACACGCGACACGACACGACACGCGACGCGACACGACACGACACGACATGTGTGTGCACTTGCTGATTAGTGGGCCGCTGTTTCTGTTTCTTGCAGGAGGGCGCGCGGCTGGCGACGGGCGGCCAGGAGAAGCTGGTGAAGATCTACGACCTGGCGCAGCTGGCCGAGCTCAACGCGCTCGCCGGCCACACCGACACCATCAAGGAGGTGGTCTGGACCTCCGAGCACACCCTCATCAGGTCCGTCAGCCATGCCAGCCACCTCCCCACTCTCTGTTCTCGCTCGTGCGCTCACGCCTGTCGTGTGTGTGTGTGTGTGTGTGTGTGTGTGTGTGTGTGTGTGTGTGTGTGTGTGTGTGTGTGTGTGTGTGTCGTGCGCAGCGCGGGAGACAACATCCGGATGTGGGATCTGCGCGTGGGCGAGAAGGGCGGGGAGGTGAAGCAGCTCTCGGTTAACGGACCCGTCGTCTCGATGGAGCTCTCCCTCGACGGCAAGCACCTCACCGCCGTCTCCGGCAAGACGGTCCACTTCTTCGACCGCAACTCGTACCCCCCTTCCCTCCCTCTCCATTGCGTGTGTGCGGTGTGTGCGTGCTGACGCGTGGTTGGGCGACAGGTGGGAGGTGGTGAAGACGCACACGTCGTCGTGCGAGCTGGCGTCGGCGTCGCTGCGCGGAGCGGGCGACGACTGCCCCACCCCCGTTTTTGTCACCGGCGGCACCGATTTCTGGGTCCACCTCTGGGACTTTGAGACCGACAAGGAATTGGGTACGCCTTCCGCCGCACGCACACACCGCACACACCGCACGCGCACGCACGCGCACACCGCACACACCGTTGGCTGATGTGTGCGAGCAGGCGTGTACAAGGGTCACCACGGTCCGGTGCACTGCGTGAGGTGGCATCCGACGTACAAGTACTTTGCGTCGAGTTCGGACGACGGCACGATCCGACTGTGGATGAAGGAGCCCGTCGTGCGAGAGCTCGAGGAGCTGCAGGACCGACAGCGGGAGGAGAAGCGGAAGGAGGACGAAAAGAAGAAGAAGGAGGACGAGAAGAAGAAGGAGGAAGAGAAGAAGAAGAAGGAGATCGCCAAGAACAACAAGAAGGCCAAGAAGAAGGCCAAGCAGCAGCAGGCCCAGCTCCTGCTCCTCCAGCAGCAGCAGGAGCAGCTGCAGCACCAGGCGGCGGCCCAGGCGACCGAGGCCGACGGCGCCCAGCCCGCCGCCGCTGCGACCACGGAGGCGGCGGCCGATGGCGCGGCCACGGAGGCGGTGAGCGGCAGCGAGGAGGAGACCCAGTTCCCGATCGACGACGCGACCTCGTTCCCCGACGCTGGCGCGGCCACCGGCGAGGACAACGCCGCGGCTCAGTAGTGCGCGAGAGCGAGAGTGCTGCGCGTGTTACGTGTTTTGTGTTCTTTGTCGTTGCTGTGTGTGCGACAAATCTGAGAAGAGTGCCGCACACGACGTGTGTGCGGTTATTTATTAACTACGAATAATTATTCCACTCGCTGCTACCTTGCATGGTGTGCACACCAATGTAACCTTCATCCTTCCTCCCGTCATTTGCGCGCGTGCGTCTCGACATGAGCTCATCCTCGTCGGCTCTCCTTTTGCACGCTTACCGAGGCGATCTTCTTGGAGAGGCTTCGCTTGATGGACGATGGCCGGAGTCCTTCTGTGTATGCGTCGACAACACCACCACCACACGACACACACAACGACACGTGAGAAAGTTGTGTGGGGCTGAAGGTGGGTGGTGGGGAAGGAGGTGGGTTATATTACCTTGTCGTTGAGGGTCTTGGCGGTGGCGCTGATGGTCTCCTCGTCGAGGCACTCGCCGAGCACCTTGCCGAGCCAGCGCTGGATGAATTCGACCTCCTCGAAGCAGTACGACGACGACTGGCACGCCAGGAGCTCCGTGACCTTGGCCGCCACCAGCGAGTACTTCTCAAAGTTGATCAGCGTCGTCGTCGCCGGCAGCCCGCTCATATCCGTCGCCGCAGCCACTGCCGCTGCCGCTGGAACAGGTGCCGACACCGCGGGCTGGGCAGCAGCAGCGGCCGATGCGGCCGCCGCCGCAGCCGCCGCCTTCTCCTTCTCCTTCTCCTGCTTGTCCTTGGATGTGATGATGGAGGCCGCCGAGAAAGTCGCCGACGAGCGCTTCGACTTGGTGCTGGCCCTCTTCTCCTTCTTCTCCTCCTTCTCCTTCTCCTTCTCTTCTTCTTCTCGTCCTCCTTCTCTTTGCTCGTCGGCTCCGTGGCCGTGGTCACGGTCGCCACGGGCGGCGTCGACGGGTTGTTGAGGTTGGCGGTGATTATGTCGTCCTTGCCCTTCATGCCCACCTGCGACGCCTGGCGCGGCCGCGTGCCTAGGGCAGGAGGCTTCGTGTCCGCCGCCGCCGCCGCAGTTGCAGCCGCCGGCGCGGTGGCGCCGCCGGGCACGACGTCCGACGAGTAGCTCAGGAGCGGCGAGATGGAAAAGGCCACCGACGCGCGCCACTCGTCGACCGCGAGCGAGTGTCCGGAGATGGTCGACCCCTGGCCCTTCTTCTTGTGGGTCGGATCCTGCACACAACACACGTCAGCCACCATGCGTGTCGTGTCGTGTGCGGTCACAAGCGTACGATTTCGGTGGTGACGAAGGCCGGGTAGGAGTCCCAGATGTAGGCCACCTCGTGGAGGTAGGCGCCGACAAAGGGGATGCACGGGGGCTCGACATCCCGCAGCCGCGCCTGGATCTGCTCGTAGTTGCCCCCGAGCAGCTTGGACAGCTTGGACAGCCGCAGCATGTGCTTCGACGGCACCTCCTGCGCACCAACCATCGTGAGCCAATGTCGCGTATGTGCGTGTGCGCGTGCGCGTGCGGTGGTGTGTGTCGTGGGAACGTACATCCCACACGTGCTTCAGTTGGGCGATGGGGAGGAAGCGGAGGCCGGACACGATCTCCACCATGGTGTTGAGGTTGTTCATTTGCAGGCAATGCTGTTGTACGACCACAACAAGCAACGTCGCAAAGCGAAACGTGTAAGCTACGAGGTGGTGCGTGTGCGTGTGTGTGCGGTGGCGTGTGTGGCTCTATGTGTACCTCGGCGATTTGGATGAAGTTGAAGATGACCTGGGCGCGCACATCGTCGTTGACGCCCTTGAGGATCTCAGTCGCCACCCAATTGCGCACCCGGTCGAACCGATTGCGGAGCGCACTACACCCGCAGCACCCAGCGTGAGCGTCTCCACCACCACCACTCACCACCCGCCGCCCACCACCCGCCGCCGCCAGCGCCGTTGAGGGGGGGAGCGTACGAGAGGGCGGGGGCACCCGCCTCGGGGTTTTGCGCGAGCCAGGCCTTGTTGAGGAATTCCAAGTGGTTCACCTGCTGGAAGAGCTTCTCCTCGCCCAACGACAGCTGGCGCGCCATCTGCACGAAACACACAACACACGCCGCACGCACCGCACGCACCGCACACGCCGCACGCATCGGAAACGAGGTGAGAATCGATCGATGGAAACGCTCGGCTGGTGCTGGGGCGCACCTCCTCGGGATGGAAGTCGAGGAATGAGAGGTTGTCGGAGAACACGCGCGGGAGGTGCGGCGGCTGTGTACACCACCAACAAGAGAAGAGTCAAGATCCGCATCGGCCGTCCTTCGCACGAGTGTGTCGTGCGCGTGCGGTTTGTGTGTGTGTCGTGTGTGTCGTCTGTACCGGAGCCTTTTCCAGGAAGGAGTTGGAGCGCTTCTTTCGCTTGCCCGCTCTGCGCGCCACGGGGAAGTTTTATAAATGAATAAATGAAGTATCTAAATAAATGAACAAATGAATAAATAAATACCCTTTGATCTGCTTGTCGAGGAGCTCGTTCAGAAGACGCGCCTCAGCGACGAGGCCGTCGGGGATCATCTTGTCCTGCAGGAACTGGCGCAGCGACGCCACCAGCTCCTTGTTGGGCGCGGCATCCTGCCAGTACTTCTCCAGCCACTGCTTCAGCACCGTGTAGATCCTGCCCAACAACGTCCCATGAGCCAAGCACTAATCACACACGCACACGCACACCACACACGCACACGCACACGCACACACACGCACACACAGACGCACCTCTGGCGGATGGGTCCCTCCTTGGCGGCGATGAACTTCTGGAGAAGCTGCGGTGAGTCGTTCTTGGGCCTGGGCACAGCGTAGCGTGCCCGCAGCAGGTTCAGCAGCTGCTGGTCCGTGGTGAACGACCTGTAGCGATGGCACACTTGAGTTTCTGCGCGTGTGCGGTGGTGTGTGGTGGGGCGTGAGTGTCGTGTGATGAGTAATTGAGTACTTGTAGGTGAGCATGAAGGCCTGGAGGGCGGCTTCGTTGATGCGCTTCTCGTGAGTGATGCGCTCCACGAGCTTGGCCAACGTGGCCGCCCTGATCTGGGGCAGCGACGAGCCATCGATGATGGACGACTCGTCGATATCGAATACCAGATTTTCTGGACCGCAACAGAAGCATTCACTGTGAGATTTCAAACCGCACACAACGCACAATCAAACGCACAACACCTCACACGAGGGGAGGAGCGAGGTACGGCTGGAATCGGGCTCGACGAAGGGGTAGCCGGGAGGAATCACGAGCTCGCCAAACTCCTCCTCGTCGCCGAGAGCGGGCTCTCCCTTGCGCGCGATGCCGCTGGCGGGCTGAGCGGCGAAGCCAACAACAACAACAGTAATAGTTATAATGAGAACGCGTTCACCATCTGCGAGGCGTTGTGTAGGTTAGGTGCGTACCGTGGCCCGTTGGCTGCGCTCGGAGTCTTTCTGGTGCTTAGTTCGGACAGGTGTCGCTCGCGCACCGCCGTCGCCCGACGACTTGCCATTGTTGTTGTTGCTGCCGCCGACGGCCTCTTGCTCGGCGCCCTCAGCGAGAATCACCGGCACGATGCCCGGCATCGCCGGCCTGAATAATGGTGTGGGGGGGGGACAAAGTCAGTAGCTGCCACACACTCCTTGCGCGTCGAGTAAAGTATCGTACTTGTCCTGGGCGCTGCCGTCATCGTCTGTCGCTGCCGCTGCCTTGGACGCGTCCTGATACGAGTGGCGCATTAGCGGTTAAATAAACCAGACAACGCCACGCCGCAGGGGCGGGGGCGGGGGCGGGGCGGGGGAAGTGGGCTGTACGGAGTCGTCTTTCTGGGAGAGGCGTTCCGCTCCGATGCGCGACTTGGGCGGCAGGGCCGATGCCGAACGCGGCTTCGCAGGTGAGCCTAATAGTTCGCACCCCCAATTGGTGTGAGCGAGCTCCATACGTTCGCGTCCGCAGATGCACACGCCACACACACTCACACACACACCACAACACACAACGCGGGTGGAGGCCGTACTGGGGTTGGTCGCAACCAGGCTGTCTGAGGGCGCGCGCTGGCGGTTCTGTTTGGTTTCGATCTTGAGCGACTCGCGGTAGCACTCGTCCTCGCTCAGGTACTCGGCGTTGATGAGCCACTCCTGGATGAAGGGCACGGCCTCGAGGCAGTACAGGGTCTGCTGGTACTGCTGGATCTCGCGAATGACCTGCGAGATCAGCGCCCGCTTGTGGAAATTGATCAACCCGGCCTATGAAAAGGTTCGCAACACGACACACACGTGGCACACAACACGACAGAACGAGGCGTCAATTGTGAGGAATGCAAGGGTGAGGTGGCGGATGGAGGGAGGCGAGCGAACCTTGACGAAGTCCTTGTTGCCGTCCTCGATGAAGGTGAGATCGGTCAGGTAGACGCCCAGATAGGGAATGCACGGGGGGTCCACCTAGCGCGCCCCAAGTCAATGCTCGCATGTCAGTTTAAGGTCATCACTGATGACTGCGCGTGTGCGGTGGTGCGCGTTCGGTGTGTGTGTGTGTGTGTGTGTGTGTGTGTGTGCTAACAACGACACACAGGTGTACCTGGTGAAGGTGAGCGCGGAAGTTTTGGAAGTTCTTCTCCCGTGCCATCACGAGCTGCGTCTCCTCGTACTTCCGTCGCTGCTTGCTGTCGATGAGCTGCACACAGTTATCACACACGAGCGTATGAGCAAAAAATCCGCAGCTGCTGCATAGTAATCGGTCCGGCGGGAGGGGAGATTGTTATTTCTATACCGCCCACGTCTGTCTGAGGCGGTAGACCGAGGAGGACTGCAGGCCAGATATGATCTCCATGCAACAGTTGAAGTTGTTGAGCTCCATGCATCGCTGAACGATCGTGGTGTGTGTGTGTTGTGTGTGTTGGGCGTCAGCAAAGTTGTGTTGACGAATAGACAAAGTGTGCGATCGGTGACTCGACGCTGCGCACGTACGTTCATGACTTCGAGGAAGTGGTTGAGGACAGAGGCACGCAGCGTGATGTCCTCCACCTGCACGATCTCCGTGGCAACCCACCGAGAGACCACGTTGAAGCGTTGGATCATGGCCATGATGTTCGGTGCCTGCACACCAACAGACTCGAATGTTAGGTTGATGTTCTCATCTGCGCTGCGCACGACGCGTGCGACACGTTACCTTTTCGTCACGTCCGGCCTTGGCCCAGGCCTGGTTGAGGCACTCCCACGGCATGATCTTCTTCCACAGATCCCATTCGATCAGCGTGAGCTGTCGTGCGATCTGGTTGGCAGAAGGGAAAGAAAAGAAAAGATAAAATGAGTGGTCAATCAGGCAGTCGATCACCCTGCACGGAGAGCTTGGCCGTGTGCGGCGGTGCGTGTGGGCGCACCTCCATGGGGTCGAAGGCCAAGAGCCCTGGCTGGCGCGAGGCTCGGGCTGATGAGAGGCAGCAGCGGCTTGGGTGGGGACTTGCTGAACTGAATCTTCTTCGATTCGCTGCCCTTCTCCGACAACTTCTTGTTGATGAGCCTAGTTGACGAAAGGAAACAAAAACACAGCACATGCGTGAGTGCGTGCGCTTGTGGATGCTTCAGGAGAGGGGGGGGGGAAGGGGAATGGGAGGCAGACTCACCGCACGAGCTGCTCGCCGGCCTTGTCCATGCCCGTGACGCGCATCGTTTTGTCGATGAACTCGAGAACGGTCTTGACGAGCTTCTCGTTGCCCACGAAGTCGTACCAATAGTTACTCAACCACGTCTGTTTGTTTGTGGCATACGACACGACCCGCGCACATTGAACGTTGGGTACGAACACATCATTGAGTCAACGTTCGGTCGCGGTCACATACGATAAAGAGAGAAAGGAGGGGGACCTTGAGCAGGTTGACAACGCGCAGGCGAATGGGGTCGAGCTTGTTCCGCTTGAATTCCTCGATGTCGACACCGCGAGTGTAGGGCATGTTGTACCGCAGGATGAGCAGGTCCAGCAGCTCTTGCGGCATCGCGAACGAGCGGTACGTCAACAAGAAGGCGGCGACGAAGTCCGGGTCTGACACGTTCATACATGTAACGGTGAGCAATGGACATTCCTCAAGAATCAACCGGCCCGGGCACTGGTGGTACCGTAGCCCTTTTCGTAGGTGGCGCGCTCGACCAGCTTTTCAAGGGTGGCGCCCTTGATCTTGCCTTGCGTGTTGAAGATGAGGTTGTCCGTCGAGTCCTCTTCGTAGAAGATGTACGCGCTCGGGTCGTCCAGCCCGACTTGGAACAATTCTGTTGTGCAGAGATATTAGTTTGTTTAGTCTTTGACGCAGTGTGTCATGTGTCATCGTGCACATGTCGCGTGAACAGTACCAGCAGCAGCGCGCTCGCCAACGCCACCCACTCGGAAGCTGATGCATGTTGAGAAATCCGCACGCCCCCTGTCAAAGCACACAACAGATGAGGAATTAGGTCAGACCTACAAAACAAAGTGCGCTTGAGCAGGAGGAGAGAGAGAGAGTGCGTGTGGCAGTATATACCTCTCCTTGGAGTTAATTTCGAGGCAGGCGTCGGTGAGACGCTCGCAGATGAGCTTGGGCGTGGGTTCGACTCGCTTTTCGGCGTCGCCCTCCACGATCAGCTTGAGGAACTGCACCTTGAACGCGTCCTTGGTATCGTCCACAATTTCTAACACGATAAAAGTGCGCACGGGTGGTGTGTTGGTGTGGGCATGGTACAGGAGCATCTGCTGGGCGCGTATCAGAGTGTCTCGCTAAGTGTACTGAGCGTACCTTGGCTTAGGCTGGTCGCTTCCTCCCAGGTTCGGCCGAGGAGATCGAGCTTATTTGGCGGAATGCCGAGGTTTGCGGGATCTGTTTTGTGTGTGTGTCAGTGAGCATCAAAGAAAACCGGCTTCGGAGGGGTCGCCGCTGGTACCCAAGTTGTGGTGAAGCCCATCAGAGACGAGTGTGATTATGTCCTCCTCGGCACAGCCCACCCAGTACATGTCGATATTATACAACGTCTCCTGCTTCGTCCCCTGCTGCACCACGCGTGTAAGCTTACTCGCGCAGAACTCCCTTCCGTGCACAGGTATAATGTAGGCAGGAGGCAGGCACGGTACCACTTGCTCCTGGTCGCTCTTCATCTGGAGCTGTCTTCGTCGGCGCAGCGAAGATGTGACATCCTTGAACTCCTGCAATTACGCATCACCGCGAGAAATCACTAAATGCTTAGACCCCAGCGCGACGAGGCTCCAGCTGGTTTACCTTTCGCTTTGCCTTGTAATGGTACACTTTGGCGTTACCCACCACACCGATGACGAATGCGTACCGCATATCATCTGTTGCAGCCGATGCACACACGACACACACGATTAGGGATGCTTAAAGAAGGGCACTAAGCGCAAGCGGGACGGTACCATCGGCGGTCTCGAGCTCGTCCTGCAGGCAGAGGGAGGCTTCGGGCCTCTTGGCATCGTCGCCGACCGGCGACGAGATGTTCTTGAGGCCCAGGTGCGACACCAGCTGCGGAATGTTGAACGTGCGCACGGCCAGCAGCGGCTTCCTGTGCGACGCCGGCAGCCCGATGGCGCTGCCGTTCCGGGCGTAGGCCGCGCTCGAAACGTAGGCCGGCCGCGGCGCGAGCGGAACGAAGAAGGAAGCCGGGCTGAAGCTCGAGTACGACAGATAGGGCGAGTGGAATGTCGGCGATGCGTTGGTGCCCGGCTGCGGCTGGTGCTGGTTCAGCTGCTGCTGGTGCTGCAGCGTCGGCAGGGAAGACAGGGAAAACGACAGCGGCGAGCGGATGGCGATGGAGGGCCGCCTGCGCGCGGGCTTGATCGACTCCTTGCTTCTCGACAGGGAGCTGTAGAAGGGCGGCTCGAGTGCCGAGTCGCCGTTCTCGTCGTCATCGTCAGAGTTGTTGGACGACGAGTGCATGTCGCTGCTGTCGTCGTAGCGGTACTCGTAGTCGGCCAGCATGTTGATCAGCGTCTTCTCGCGCTCGTCTGCGCGCAGCTCGAGCAGCACGCCCATGGCCATGGTCACCAGATTCTCCTCTTCCACCGATTCGTGGTACGTGGAGAAGGTCGTGCACACCCTCCGTCCCGCCTCTCTGCATGCACGCATTCCAAGACATTTCAAACAGTCGTGAGCCCAGGGATGTGAAGGCGTGACGCCACATTCCACACAATCACACCACACGCGCGCGCACGCACGCACGCACATACACAAGGGTGACGAGATTGTGTACCGGAGTGAGGTGATGTATTTGTGTTGATCGTTGAGGTGGTACATACAAATGGCGCTGGCCTTCTTGGCGTTGATGCTTGCTCTGTTCACGCAACCGCAGTTTAGTTTTTCGTCGACGCACATCATCGACAAAAGAGACGTTTGTTTGGAAAGACGCTACGCACTTGGTGGGGTCGGGCTTCGCGGCTCCCTCCGAGCCGAGCCCTTGTCTGTCACCGTCGGTCAGCACCAGGATGGCGCGTCGGTCCATCAACTTCATCCAGAAGCAGTCCGAGCTCACCGGCTGCTGGGCTCGAGTGTCGGCCGGCGTGGCCGGCGCGGACTTCAGGAGGGACCGATCCTTGTGGACCGTTCGCGCGCACGCCGAATTGACGTAGGTCTCGAGCTTGTCGCTCTGCGGGCCGTTCAAATCCACCACCTTGCTGGAATGAGTCGACGACTGCATCACCCCGAACTCGGGCAAGACCTCGCGCCAAATGTTGTAGTTGCCTCGGAGCGTGGAGAGGCTCTGTTGCTCGTCTTGCGTGTTTTGCTGTTGTGCGACCACCGGTTCAACGGAATGCGCACGTTAGCATTAATGTAGCGACCGTGGCGATGACGTATGCCATGGGCAAGGCCACGTACTAGCACGATGGTGGATATCATGCCGCAGGCCACTTGCAGTATCTGCAGCCCGCGCAGGGGTTCGACTCGGCGTGGTATCTTCTGGTTGGCGACCTCGGTGTGTTCGGGGTTGGACTTGCCCTGCTCCCCGTCCAAGCCCAGCCGGCCACAGCCTGTGCCGCAGACGAACACCTCGCCCTTGTCTGAACGATGGTACACCATTAGCAACAACAATGTGACATTACAGCGGAAGTAGCAGTGGGAGGCAGTACCGCTGAGAGCGGCCATGTGCGCAAAGCCGCAGGCTATCTGCACGATGCGGGTACCACGGAGCGACGCGACTTGGTGCGGCTCCTTGTGGTCTTCCTCGTCGCCGTGCCCGAGTCGCCCGCCGGCACCCTCGCCCCACGTATACAGATCGCCCGTGTCTGGCCATCGCTCTCAGGTCAGTTTTTGCTGCAGCTCGTGTGCGTGCGCGGTGGTGCGTGTGCACACGAACCCATGAGTACGGCGCAGTGCGCCCAGCCGCAGGCGATCTGCTGGACACCGCGCCCGGCCAGAGCGCCGATGGACTGCGGGGTCCATTCGATGGTACGCCCAAAGTCGCCGCCTTGGCCCAGCACGCCGTGGCCGCCATCGCCCCAGATGTACGTCAGCTTGTCCGCTGCAGCCAAGGGGTGGAGCGAGTTTGAGTCAGCAAAGATGAGCGTGTAGCGGGAGATTGCTATTGCTCAGAGATGAAAGAAAAGTGTAGTAGGGAAGGATACCAGTGGTGCAAAGGGTGTGGTAGGCGCCGCACGCGACGTGGGTGACCTTCTTGCGAAGAACCCGGGAGAGGTATTCGATGAGCTTGGGGGTGGTCTGAATCTGCGGATCTCCCTCCTGCAGCTCACCGTGGCCAAGAACGCCGAAGTTGGCGTCGCCCCACGAGTACAGCTCGCCCGTCTCTGCAGAGGCTCAGCGGCTTAATCTTCATCCTTCAATCAACATATTTATTTACTTTCCTTTTTTCTTATTTTTATTTTGTTATTGTTATTTTATTGCCTCTTAGCGCAAGAAGGTGGGTACCTGAGAAGGCGGCGGTGTGGCGCTCGCCCAGGGCCACGCCGACGATGTTGGTGTTGAGTAGCTCCCCGACGAGGCGCGGCGCGTTCTGATCGGTCTCGTCGCCGTGTCCCAGGCGTCCGTAGCGACCCATGCCCCACGTGAACAGCAACCCCTTGGCTGGGGCAGGCAACAACTTGTGTGAGGATGGGGGGATTGGCAAAAGAAAAAGAAGAAGATGGTGATGAATAGGAGACGCGCACCAGAGATGGCCGCGGTGTGGCTCCACCCGCACGCCACTCGAGAGATCTTGATTCGGCGGAGGGACGCCACTTGCATGGGGATCGTGAGCAAGCGGCTGCTCTTGTGGCCCAGCTTGCCAAATGATCCATCGCCCCACGTAAACAGCTCCCCCGCTCCTACAACACAAAGTCGGAGAGAGATTGAGTCGAAACGTGTTGGGGGGGGGGCGAGATGGTCAGTGGATCGTCACCAGTCAGGAGAGAGAGGTGGTTGTAGCCGCTGTGGAGTTGACACTTGCTCAGGTCGATCGGATCCCCTTCCTCATCGTCTGTTCGCGGGATCCCTTCGCTCCTCTTTTCCGGGTCGCATCCGCCAAGGTGTCCTTACCAATGGAGATCAGTTCCATGAGAGATAAGAGAGCAAGACAGCAGAGACGGACGATCTCCTGATTATCTTCTTCCCCTCTTGCTCCTCCTGCCTCTTCTGTTCTGTCACTCCTTCTTCTGTGTTGAGCTTGCCGGACGCCTGTTGACCAGTAGCCCTTTTTTCTTTTTTCTGCCCAACAGCGGTTGCCTCTCAGCGCCATAGAGGCCTGGCGACTCGGGAAAGGAAAGCGGAGAGACCAAGTGTGGTCACGACCGGCTAATAACTAACTTCTGCACATGAAGAAGAAAGAAGAAAGAAGATGGTGCTCTGGTCTCTGTCTACTATCCTTCACACACTCTCCTCTCCTCGAACACTCCGCTGCTGTGGTTGCTGCCTGCAGCTGCACCCGCTCCGCATCAGAAGTTCTTCACTTTCTCTTCTCCTTGATCCTCTCGGCAAGCCAGTCAAAGCCCTCATCGAGACCCTCGCCCGTCGTGGCGCAGGTGGGCTGTACTTGCCACGGGTGTGAGCTGATCTTGTCCAGCTCCAGCCCTGACGTTATCTGGTCTGCCGACATCGCGTTGGGCAAATCCTAAAAGATGGAGAGATTAGATTAGATTTTGAAGATGGAGATTTTAAGGGGGGGGCGCACTTGTTTGTTGGCGAAGACGAGAAGGACGGCGTTGGTGAGTTCTGGAGACTCTAGCACCTTCCACAACTCGTCCCTGGCCTCCTTCAGTCGAGTTCCATCATTGCTGTCCACCACGAAGATGACCGCTTGTGTGTTCAAAAAAATAGTGGCGCCACAATCCTCGAATCTAAACGACAATGAGTAGAGGGTGAGCTTACAGCCACCACCACTAACAACAAGGGGAAGATGTGCTGAACCTGATCCTGGCCTCCCACGTCCCACACCGAAAATGTGATGCTCTTCCTCTGTACCGTTTCCACGTTGAATCCTGGGCCGGCGGAGGCCACGATGAGGGAAGGTGTGAATGATGGTGATGTTGATGATGCGAGAGAAGTTGGGGTTTCGTGGGAGGAAGTAAACAGCCAGGTGGAAGAGACAATTGATAGATAGAGAAAAAGGGGTACCGATGGTGGGTGTAGTCTTGACCACTTCGCCCATCTTTAGGCGGTAGAGGATGGTGGTCTTGCCACCGTTGTCGAGACCCAACATCACTATCCGCTGCTCCTTCCCCTTCCCGAGCCTAAACAGCTCCCCGAAGAATCTTCCCATGCCGGCTCCCATCTTGCTTGTCTAGTTTCTTTTCTAACTCTAGTCTCTAGCTCGTAGACCTCCTTCTAGCACTGCTCTCTTCAACTTCTGTCCCCTTCTCCAAATCCCAAACAGCTGGTCGTTCGCGCGAACGTGTGCCTGCGGACTTTCGGTTAACTGCGAACGACGTCGATGTAGGCGTTGCAGAGCTGGAAACCAGTTTATTGCCTGGTAACCGCCCCTTTCTGCCGTTACGGTGCAGCCGGCCGGCTGATTTCCCGCCAAAAAGAAACCGGCCACAAGCGGGCGAGAGATGAGCGCGGACCTGGGTCGGTCGATCGATTGATGACTGTTCTTCAGGGAACGACCTGTACGGCGGCCGTCTTACACCCCGCACGGATCTGCTCGGCCGTGTCTCGGCCCCACAGCGTAAGCTGGCTCTCGTAACCGCCCACATCTTCATTGTACATCGCATGGTGAGTTGGTACGTGCGTGTGCGGTGCGTGCGGTGGTGCGCATGTCATAGGCGAAGGGAACGCACCATACTCACGCGGGGTGGCGAAGTAGCCCATGTGGTTGTTGGAGTAGCCAGCGAGGATGGTGTGGTCGAATCCCAGGGCGGCCATGTCGCCGTACACCTGCTGGCCTAGCTCGTACAGAGGCTCGCCCGGCAGGGTGACCAGCAGAATGTGGCGTCCGCCGATGTCGAATCGGATGGCCGTGAAGCGCGGCTCGTTCTCGATCCACGCCGAGTCTGATAATCGCACGATGAGCGATCGAGCCGAGCGATCGATGTGTGCGCAGAGGCCGAACATACCCAGGTGCGCGTTGAGATCGCACTGCAGCACCTTGCAGATGGTGCAGATGTCCAAGGGGCCGCCTGCAATCAAGGTTGTTTGCTTAGCAATTGTAGCAAGCAGTCGGTCTACGACGAGCTACACACCAGAGGAGCAGTCGCCGAAGCGCTCGAGGGTGGCGTTGAGGTTGGTGAAGCCGAACGGGACGATCACCGAAGCCGTCGTGAGCGAAAGCTGCGAGACGGCGGCGGCGGCGGCGACGATCATGTCAAACTTATTTCACCCTTGGGGAATAAGGAAGGTGAGCCACGTACCACTCCCGTGGTGGGCGTGCTCGATCGCAGCTTGGCGACGGTGCTGGCAATGATTTGGGCGCCGTAGAAGTTGGGCTGCTGGGAGCAGGCCTGGGCAGCTGATGGTGTTCACACACGCATACGCACGACACACACGACGTACAGCGGTCAGGAGAGGGAACCAGCCAACCATGTCAAAGCGGGAGAGTAAGGCGCACTGGGGTCGATGTCACCGGCGTCAGCGTTCACGAACAGGGCGACACCCCCGACGGACTTCTCAATGAACTCGCAGGCCTTGCCCATAATGTCGCCCGAGACTGTGTTTCATATAGAAACGCGATTATTGTGAGTTGCACGCCAAAACGTGTGCGCTGATGGAGACAGGCGTCTAGGCTGAGGGATGCGTACAATACATGTTGCTCGAACCATAGCAGGTACCGTGCGTGGCAAAGTTCCACACTGCGACGAGAGACGACCGGGAATCATTAGTTGGAAGATCACCGCGTTGCGTGCAAGGCGCGCGTACGGGTGGCAATGGGGTTTCCCTGGAGGTCGTTGACACTGATGATAGACAGGTTGGGATCAATTGTGGTGGCGTTTACATAGGGGCTGCGGCCAGCGCGACGGTTACGAGTAACACCTGCACGCACACAAGTTTAGTGGTAACGCACTAATTCATGGCAGATAAATGAGCTCGAACCGGTGAGGTTGGTGTGCGAGAGGCCGATAGTGGCAGGCTGGAGGCTGGCCTGCGCAGAGACGAGGGCATCGGCGATGGAGTTGGACAGCTTCCACTGCAGCGAGGGTACCATCAGGTCCGTGGCCGGTGCCACCGCTGGTGGAGGGAGGAGAGAAAGAGCGAAAGCGAAAGTAAAGGCGAAGGCGAAGGCGAAGGCGACGAGTCAGCCTTCATTCTTTTCCTCATGAGACATCTTCTCTCGGCGGGGTGGTCGTACCCCACAGGAACTCGGGCGAGACGGCACCGGGACCCGAGTGGGTGTGCGAGGCCGACATGATCACATTGGCGCGCGGTACGGTGAAGCCCCTCGACACGGCAATGGCGTACGCGATGTCCATCACACTATTGTGCGCGTTGAACCGCCCACGACAATCAATAGCGCGTCAGTGATAAATCGCGGTTCACGGGAGTTGTCGTTATGGCGCGACGTGCCTGCCGGAGGCACCGATCATGTCCAGAGTGAGGAAGGCCACGGGCGTGCGGCCGTCGTCGATCACGAGGGCCTTCACCCACGTCGGGTCGATAATGCCCTGCGAGGGGTTCATCCAGTTGCAATACTTCTCCCTGTCGAGCACGCCACCGACACCAAGGTCCACGTATATTAAAATCAAAATTTAATTACAAATCAAATAATAAATAAAAATTATAAAAAGAAGAGTGAAGGAAAGCGAAGGGGGGGAGGAACCCAGTGTTGAAGAGGGGCCACCAGGAGAAGCGACGCTCGCCGTGGTTGAAGCCGGCCAACGGAACACCCACCCCGCCCTTGTCCGGCAAGGTACCTGCAGGCACACGTGAGCTAAAGAGTAGAAGGGAAGGGGAGGGAGCAAGGGGGAAAGGGTAGGGTGGTCGAACGAACCGTCAATTTTGGCGACGCCGGCACGGAGGACGGCGGAGGAGAGGGCCACCAGCGAGAGGAGGCACACCACAGCGAGCAGGACCGGCTTCATCTTCATCATCTTGACCTTAAACTCAACTGAAAGTGCTCGGGCGCGATCCGATGTCTGGGGATTGGCTGACAATTTGAAATAACCAATTTCGACAGTTTCGATTTGGGGTCGGCCAATCTCCTCACTCGGAAAACGTACACGAAAAGAGCCACCGGTGGTTGGCATGCGTTGCATTGTAAACCGTTAGGTGGCACATACAGAATGTGGCACGTGTCCGATCAGACAGAAGACCAGGTGAGCAAACAATCCTCTCTCAGTCGCTGTCCGAATCGCCAAGGTCCCAGGCGTCTTCGTTGTCTGTTTGTTTGGTGATTGATGATTGTCGGCCGCGCGGTGTGGGTTGGGCGTGAGGGGAATGACTTGGTGGAGGAGTAAAGGGCGGTGGGTACGACTGAGCGTACCTCCTTCGGGCTTGGGGAGCAGGTCCTTGATGTCGCGGTCGCGCGCGAGATCGCGTGGGAGTCGGCCGTCCTTGTCCTTCACGTCGGTACGCGCCGACCTAATGTTACGGTAATCAGAAGGTTGTTGGTGGGCCATCACGTTGTGTTTCAGTTGAACACGTGTATAAGAATTGTGGAGTGCAAGTGAGAAATGAGAGCGTACGCGCCGAGAAGGAGCTTGATGACTTCGGCCTGGTTACGCCACACGGCCTGATGCAAAGCGGTCTTGCCCTGTGTACGTTCAGCCGCACACACAACAATGCTCCGCGTCAGGGTCAAGTACGTGACGAACGCCACGTGAAGAGAGAACATGTTGGTGGCGATAAAGATAATGGACCTGGTCGTTCTGGGCGTTGAGATCGACGCCGTCGGCCTTGACGAGCTGCTTCACCACCGCCACGTGACCAGCACCGGAGGCCAGGTCTGAGCCAAAGGGAAAATGAATAAGAAAAAAAGTAAATAAGAATTATTAATCCACTAAAGAATGGGCAAGGGGAGAGTACGAAGGGGAGTGTTGCCCTGGTCGTCCCGTTCGACGATTGATTTTTTGTTGATCAGCTGTCCGACCTGGTCACCGGGGGGGGGATTAAACCTCATTTATGGATTGGATGTTGATAATCGAAGGTTGTTAAAGGTACCTGAGCATCGTAGCCTCGGGAAGCCGCATAAAGCAGCGTCATCTGAGAACCCGCCTCCTTTTGCATCCTGCGCTTCTAATTGTTCGATCTTTTTGTTCGGTTTGGTCGTCCAAGGACAGAAAATAGGCCAAACAGTTTCTCAATTTCTTTTGCTTCTCGCCTCGAGGTCCTCTCCACGGGGCTAGGCGCCAGGCCATGACTCTTGCTTTCAGACCACTAGGGCCAAAGAACGAAAAGCGACAAACGAAAGCGAAGGCAAGAATGAAGGGCGAATGTTCGAGGAAGAGAGTGTAAGTACAAGATAAAGAGAGGCGCGGAGCCAAACCTCCTTCACTCCTCTGCCCCTTCGAGAGCAAAGACCTCAGTCACCAGGTACTCGGCCTTCGCCTTGCCTGTGTCCTTGCTCGCTGCTGCTGTTCCCTCCTTCTCTCCGGTAACGCTCTTGCTGGCTTCACCTGAGGGCGTGGCCAAGACAAGTGTTAGTACTACACTTTGGCAGTGACAGGAACCAAAAGAGCCAGAGCTAGAGCGAGAGTGGAGTCCGTACTGCTGTTGTTGCTTGTGTTGCCGACTTGACGCATGAGCTTGGAGTGTTGATTGCTCGGGCGCCGCTTTTTGCCCGTGGGGCTGGAGGTTGAGGTCTGCGCATGGCTGACCACGCTGGACGACGTGCTGCTGTGTTCGATCTGCAGGTGCGTAGCGGAACAGACATGGCGCTTATTAGTTGCTGGCGGCATCAAGTGGTGTGGTTCAAGTGGTGGTTGATGTAGAGGGGTTGTAAGCGCTTACCTCGCCATCTTCGTACTCGTCGTCCATCCAGTCTTCGCCGGCGTACTTGGCCAAGTCGGCGTAGTACTGCTCCAGCATGGAACAGATCTCCTCCATTTTCATTCTGATTGATTGTAGGAAATGGACCAGGTCCGCCCGTTGTTAGACCGGTGATGAACAAATACAGAAGAGCACACGCGCGTACCTCTTTTGAGGATTCTGCTTCCAACAGCTCTTCATGATTCGTCGAAAGACGGGATCGCACACGGGCGGTATTCGCAACCGGGTATTTCTGTGCGAACGCGGCGTTGGTTGATGTTAGGTGCTGCCGTGATGCACAAACACAACGAGGGCCAGCTGTGAGGCAGTACTTGACGCCCACGGCGATGGCGATTTGGGTGGGGTCGACGTTGTTCCACGGCGATTTCCTCGTGACCATCTCCCACAGCAGCACTCCTGCTCGGCAGCGACAACACGGTCAGAGCTGGGCACTTGGGAGAACAGCATCACGTGGGGGGGGGGCATGAGAACCGTAGGAAAAGCAATCCGATGCCTCCGAGTACTCGCCGCGCAGCAGTGCCTCGGGTGCCATCCACTGTGGAACATGGCAAACAATCGCCCAAACGTCAGCGTCGCAAGATGCAAGCATCAAGAAGAGGTAACGCGCCCACCTTGATGGCACCGTAGTTCGAGGTGGTGCGATCGACCTCGTCCTTTTTCGCCCTGGCCAGCCCAAAGTCGCTAATGTGAACCGCTGATAGAAGTGGAAGTGCACTAGGTGAGTATTGATGAACGAAGAAGAGCCAAAAAGAGCGAAGAAGAGCGAAGAAGAGCGAATGGCACGTACAATAATTGTCGCCGACAAGTACGTTCCTCGTGGCAATGTCACGGTGGATCACCTTCTCCTTGTGGAGGTGGAGAATGCCCAGCGCGATGTCGCGGGCCATGCGAACCAGTATGTGGAAGGGCAGCTCGAGGCGTTTGGCGACCAGCACATCGTAGAGCGATCCGTGCGGGTAGAACTCAAGCACCAGCGCGAATGGGCACTTCTCCATTCCTGCGCACAATTCCAATAGCATAACCATCACACCCACCATGCATCAAGCAAAGAAAGAAGAGGGCACCTTGAATCGCCACATCGCCCTTGGTGACTGCACCAACGAAGCTCACGACGCAGGGGTGGTTGGACAGTTTCTCCAACATTTCGGCCTCGCGACGAAGTGTGTGTAGAGTCGAGTTGTCGACCTGGTCGAGCTCCACCTGCTCGAATATCTTCACCGCCACCGGAGCCCCGCGCCACATGCCCCGATAGACTGTGTGCGGTGGTGTGCCCCAAGCCCACGAATTAGCGAATGCCCATCAGGTGCGTCGTCATGAGCGTTCGAATCGCACCTTTGCCAAAGCCACCCTCGCCCAGGAGAGTTCCGAGCTGCAGGTCTTGAGGGTCGATCTCGCGGTAGCTGTACTTGACCTTGCCCACCTGCAATCATCGTATCATGAGCGTCAGTCAGGCTTCGGAGCATAAAGCGCCCAACAGCAGCTCTGGTTTTTTTAACTCCGATTGATGTATCGCACCTCCATGGACTCGAGCTCTCGGTCGTCGTGTTCGTCGTGCCACTTTCTCCGCTTGTCCTTCCAGGCCACCGCGAAGAAGAGGGCGGCCACGAGGCACAGCAGCAGGAGGAGGCCGACGAAGATGCTGGGCAGCACGGTGGCCAGGACCACCACCAGGGAGTCGACGCCCGACGACGGCGCAACGGCGGCGGGCGAGGGTGAGGGCAGCGCGAGCATCGGGCATGCGTGAAACTCGAAGTAGATTACCCCGACGTCGGAGGTATACAGTGCTGCATTTTAAACTACAATCAGCTCACTCAAAGGTTGTGAGGTGTGTGGTGTGTGTGTGTGTGTGTGCCGTGTGTGTGGTGTGTGTGGTGTGTGTGGTGTGTGTGGTGTGTATCGTGATGGACTGTACTAGTGAAGGTGCCGTCCTGTGTCATGGTCCCAACCTGCACACAAGGCACCCTAAAGGTAAACAAAGGCGAATATAAGAGTGAATGGTGCATTGTACGTACACTACTCAGGATGGCGAGGTAGAGGAGGCCGTCCGCACTCAACTTGACATCATAGATGAGAGTGTCGAGCGCCTACACTGGACTGTCAGCTTATGCACCATCACGAGGGTCTGGGGGAGCAACGCACCGTGCCAAAGTCGCCCTGCAAGGCCAGGGCCGAGGAGTTGAATTGGAGCACCCTGCCGCCTCTCCCCTGAGAGAGATAGAGCGATCCACCGCTGTCCACGTCCATTCCGCCCCATCTGCCACGCACGTTCGTGAGTCGTGCGTGAGCGGTGGTGCGTGTGCGTGTGCGAAATACCTCAGTGGGCCGAAGGCGGACGTGTCAGAGTAGACCAGGCTCACGTTGTCGTAGCCAGCGTTGTCAACGCTCAGCAGGTACAGCTCGTTGGCCTGCGTCGACACCAACACGCCCGGACCCACTCCGCTCGCGTTCTGTGCGCGCGCATACCATGAGGAGGAAACCAGTGTGAGCTGCGGCACTTACGCTTCTACTCTGCTGAGCCTAGCTGGGCTGGGCTGGGCTGGCCACTGTACCGTGTATTGGAGGCCCCAGGCCGCGCCCTTGATCGCGCTGCCCTGGAGGTCGACTGCAGGGCGCCAGTAGAGGGCCACTCCGCCGCCGGTGGGCTGCCACTGGGTCGCGTTGAAGTCCGACGAGTTGGTGAGGCCCGGCGTGGGCACCTTGAGCACGTAGGGATAGTCATCCGTCGCCACGTACATCATGCCATCGTGAATCAGGATTTGCTCCTGCCCATTGGTGAGTGTGTTAAAAACAGATCAGTTGCAAAGCCGCAGCAGAAACAGCACGTGCGTTACGCTTGTCGAGCGTGGTGAAGGTTGGTACGAGGTAGAACAGCTCGGAGAAGACGACGAAGGGACCGAGCAGGGTGAGGTTGTTGGCCAGGTCGTACATGTTGATGGTCGACTCGGACCCCGACGCCACGTAAAGCACGTCGCCGTCCATCGCCACGCCTGGCGCGCATGGACAACAGTGGCGTACTTTCAGCAATCAAGTTCCGTTGCACCCTTGCCTCGCGCGAATAAAACGAAAAGGGGAGAAAGAGAGTGAAGTGGCGCGAGGGGTGAGGTAGTCATGCCAGTGGTCTCTGTGCCGGCGGGGAAGGAGATGAGGGGCTCGGTGGCGGGTGGTCGCAGCACGGCCATCTCTGTGCTGCCGCTGGTCACGTAGAGGCACTCCTGCTGCACCGCCTGTCGGGCGAAGCAGAGTAGGAGGAGGGAGAGGACCACCATGGGCGCTGTGCCGTGGCCCACCACCATCTTCATCTCTTCCAGCCGTGTCACGGACTACTACTTCTTTTCTTGTGATGTGGCGTGTAAAGCGTTGAATGAACTAAAGCTGGGAAGCGGCGCCCACCCTTCTCGGAACCCAGTGACACGATCTTAGAGCCGACGCCGTGGATGCCGCAAACGCAGCGAGTGGGTCTCGTGGAAGCACGAAAAAGGGCAAAGAGGTGCCATCGCTTAATTCCTCCTGCCCCCCCCCCGGTGTTTTTATTTTATTTAATTTAAATCCACACTTCAACAAGCGGCCGGCCGGGCACGCAGAGCAACTCGGCGGTAGGCCGCTCGACGGTGCAGTGGTGCTCGACCACCTCGACCGAGGACACGCTGGCCTGCCGCGCGATGTGGCCCGCGAAGCGACGGATGAGGGCGGCCTCGTCGTACGCCGAGCTAGGGTCGGGGAGGCCACCTGAGGCGATGCGTTCGCGCAGGTGGGCCACGACGCGCATGAGCTCCGCGTCCTCCTCGCCTACAGCCAGGTCGGCCACTACGGGCCAGCTGGCGCCGACCCTCGCCAGAGCCGCGCGCACCTGCTCCCGTGCGAGTCGGTCCGTTGTGAAGCGCCGCACCACCTCATCGGTACGCTGGCCGCCAGCTTCGGCGGCCAGCTCGTCGAATCGGCTGGTCAGCGCGGCGACGATGACACTGACCCACTCGGGCGTGCCCTGACATACGGTGATGCGGGCCGTCGCCGGTCGGTCGCGGTTGCCAGGCCGGTGTCGCTTGGCGCGCGCGACTCTGTCGGCAAGCCGCTCGAGATAGCGGCTCGCCAGCTCGGCCCATCTGCTATGCGGGGTGGACAGGCCTGCCTCCGCCACCACCACGACGTGGCCTCGAGCCATGGCGCCATCGGTGGCGCTGTGGGCGCGGCTGACGTGTTTGCGCCACCAGCGGCTCATCTCACCGAGCGCAGCGTCGATTGCCGGCTGGTCTTGCGGAAGTGGTGCATGGTAGCGCTGCGGCGCGAGCTCACACGCAATGAACGAGCGCCAGACCAGGGCGCTGAGGTTGGGACAGACCGGCGACAGCCCGCAAGCCACGATCTGAATTTACAGAAGCGCAAGTTTGTTCGTGTGTGTCCTGCATGTGAGAAAGAGCGAGCAGGCGTACCTTGCAAAAGCGACGGACAAGCTTGACGCTGCACGCCGACCAGTCCTCGCGCACGCTCCCCAGAGCGGTTCGATAGCTGCCCATGAACGCCCAGCCCACGTAAGCTAATTGCGATCACATGCGACACTTGCAACTGTTGGAGAGCTGAGCACCGTCGCAGGGATCTGAGCATATCGTCGAAGATGAATTTGACGGCCGCCTTCGGCCGATGCCCATGCAGCGCTCGCGCGAGGGTCTTCAAGTTCTGGTGCAACGCGCGCCCGAACTTTACGTCCTCCAGCGCCTGTGTGCGCGCGGCCATCACCTTAGAGGTTATACCGCGAAACGGTTGTGTGTGGTCCAGCGGCAGGTCACATACCACGAAGTCGCCTGCCAGCTCCAGGTGCACCTGTCTGGATGAAGCGCGCGTGAGCCGCAAGATGTGTACCACCAGCTCGAGCGGCAGTTGGCCGAATGCCGAGCCGGGATCTCGCAGGTGAGCCCATAGCACAAAAACGCATCGGCTCTTCAGTGTCGTGTGCGTGTCGTGCGACGTATGTGTGTCGTTGGTGGATTCCGTGTGGTGTTGTGTGTCGTGTCGCGCTTCACATGTCAGCGCACATCCGTGGAAAAAGCGCGAGCTGAGAAGTCGGTACGTAGTTGTCCGGTCGCATGCTGCCGCTGTGCCTGTAGAGCGAGAGCATGACGAAGTAGACCTTGTAGAGGTCCCGCAGCTCAGGGTAGTTGGGAAGTTGGGCCCATTGGACGTAGTTCTCGTCCTCGCCCGCTCGGAACCGGACGCCGGTGACCCGCTTCAGTCCGGCCAGCGAGGCGCCGAACCTGGAGAGCGTCACACCACCGGGGGACGAGGGCCGAGGCCCCCAGCCCTGATAAGGGATCTCCACCGGATCAACGAACTGAATCGCCCGGGGACACATGGCCGGCCCCCAGATGGCCACGTGCAGCAAGAGCGAGAGAAACACCGCGGCGCCGCTGCTGGACCAGCCCGAGTACGAGTTGCTTCCGCGCTTTGCCGGAGCGAGAAGGATATGGAGCGGATACCTGTATTCCACACATGCGTTGCATGGCAACAACAACAACAAATCTAAGTTTTTTGTCTGAGAGAGAACGGGCGGTGCGTACGTACCAGGCTCGGAACAGGTCCCGAGCCTGGGCGAGGTGCTCTGGCAGCGGCGGCGAGTCCCCCCAAGACCGACCAGTGGGCGCGAACACTTGATCCCAGTCCTGATCGTTTAGCACCCTCGGTTCACAGCCTGCAAGTTTTGCGAACTCGGTGAGTGGAGACGAACGCAAGTGACCCTCCCTCTACGGAGAGTGGGATCCTCACCTCGGCGTAGTGCGGGGGCCACTGCGAGGAACGCGTGCACGAGTGCCTGCTCGCACCAAGGGGTGATCACCATCTGCGGCGACCACGGTAGCGGAATGCCCGTCCCACCGTAGCGAGCAATGTGCCACTCTTCTGCATCCAAGAGCTCCAACAAATGTCTCACACGCTGCACGCCGGTCAGTTCATGATGTGCGTACGTGTCTTTTGCGTGGGTCGTCAGGTGACCGTACGCAGCCTGTGCGTGTCCAGACAGCATCGTAGATGACCTGCCGCACCTGAGCCTTCCATTCTGGGGAGGCGGCAAGCGGCAGGTAGTAGCTGTCCGCCAACGCTACAATGCACTGACCACCTGATTGTCGTTTTGCGTTGTGTGTGTTGTGTGTGTGTGTGTGTGTTGTGTGTGTGTGTGTGTGTGTGTGGTCAGTGGGTTTTGTGTGGCACAAGCGCATGTGAGTAGGTGGTGCATCGCTATTGGGCGGCGTAGGACTGACTCACCGGCAAGGGACTGGATGTCCTCGCTGCAAGCGTAGTAGCGGAAGGTGTCGCGTGAAGCAAGCACCCGCTCCACACGCTGCTTATCGGCCATTGATCTGTCACAAGACTTAAACCGTGAGAAGCAGAGATCAAGACATGAGTAGGAAACGCACAAAGGGTATCCCGGTGGTTTCGTATCATCGCCACCGGAGGCAACGAATACAATGTGGTCCCTTGGTCCACTCTTTGTCGCCCTTGGCTTTGGAGTCGGGCTGGTCGGGAGAGATCGGCACCGTTCGGCTTTCCTGCTGTTCGGCCCCGACGCTGGTGCACCGCACCGAGAGGCCGATCAGGTCTCGGCCTTTAAGTTCCGCCAACCTGACCAACCGCCGCGTCCTCCGTCCTTGCGCCGGGCGCCCAGCTTCCTTGCTGAGGTTGGCCGCCGACTGGGACTGATCGCCGCTGGCGCCGGGTTCGCCTTCCTCTTCGGTCTTCGTGGCCATGGTGAAGCCCTGGTGGGCCATGTGCGTGGCCACGTCCTCCGAACAGATGGCCAGCCACTGCTCGCCGTCGTGCTCGTCCCGCTCCCCCTCGATGACGACCTTGTCCGGCCAGACGTCGTCCTCGTTGACAGCCGGCTGGCGGCCCAGCACAACGAACACGCCCAGCTCGGCAGCGGGGTCCACCCGACAGCTCGTCTGGCTGTCGCTTCGCGCCAGCCGCCCCTCCTGGCACAAGCTCACCACATAACACCGCCGCCCCCGCTCGGCAGCTTGGGAGACACATGCGAGCAGGTGAGGCGGAAGCTGGTCCGCGCTCCGAACGCAGAGCTCCTGCCTGACGCCGATGTAGGCCATGACCGTGTTCCATGCCTCGACCTCAGTGCGTCTGGTGTCGCAACCACGGAGTTGGTGAGACCACAACCACGCACGGCCGTAGCGCGCACTGCGACCTAACCACAGGAGACTGTGAAGAGGTCACGGACCTCTTGTGGGCGGGGCACGGAGCGTCTTGCTCGACAGAGAAGATGACAGGCCGCTTGCACCGCTTGATCCGCCCCTGCTCACGCAGCAACCGCATCTGCTCCCTCGCCCCGCCACCACACGCTCGCGTGTCAGTCACTCTCAAAACTTGGCTCAAGGGATGGGGTACTTCCGACCTGCCATTCGACAAAGGAGCGGTAGAGCAGGTCCTCGTCATCGGTCCGCAGGGTGCGGTTCCAGTCGACATCGCAGCCCAGCGTGACAACTGCCTCCTGCATGCCCCCCCCCACCAATTACGAATGGGTGAGCGTGCTGACTAACAAGGGACTAGCATTCCGTACCTGCAGCCGGTGGCAGTGGTGGTCGTGCACCTCGGCTCCAGTGATGAAGTTTACGTGCTCATCACCGCTGCTCCTCTCCCGCCAGGAGTTGCGCTTGCTGCCCTCAACTCGCTCCTACACACGCCCGCCATTTTAGAGTAAAAAATGAAAATGAAAATGAAAATGAGTGCTGGAGGGGGGGGGTACCAGGGCGTAGGTGCCGGAGCAGGGGAGGACGAGCGGCAGAGAGGTGGCGCTGCCCAGCAGGCGCTCGGTGCGGGCCGCCACGGCGCCCTGGAAGAGCGTCTCGAGCTGCTCGGGCCAGTTGTACGCAAGCTCCTCCAGCACCACCCCACACAGCGCCCCTCCTCCATCGCTGTTCTCACGTGTGGGGGTGCCCCCCGCCACCGCCTGACGGTCGGCTTCGTGCAGTACCCGCAGCACTTCCTTCTGCTGCCAGTACTCCGCCTGGCGATTGTAGTGCTGCATGCGGACCTCTTCAAACCAGGGCCTCGTCGTGGTGTTCTCCTCCATTTTTGCAGTACAACTATCCACTCCACTCTGGCCAGCGCAACGCAAAGACAAGCTTCTTCTTGTGTGGACCAATGACGCGTCCATGATTACCCCCCCCCCCTCTCCCCCCTAGTGCACCGATTGGGTGAGCAAGCGTAGATCATGCCTGGCGGTTATTTTACTCCTCCTGGGCAAGAGTCTCGGTGGACATCTGGAGGGGCGCGCTGTACCAGGCCGAGAGGTCGCACGAGAGGTCCTTGGGCGGGGTCGCGCTCTTGGCGGCCACGGCGTCGGCGTACGACATGTCCTTCGACGTCGCGGCGGAGGTCGGCACGGGAATGGGCTCGGCCGTGGTTGTGGTGGGGCTGGTGGGCTGGCGCTGGCCGTTGTAGAGGTGGACGTCGATCCAGGCCAGGGTGGGGGCGAGGTCGACCGTGTTGGCGAGTGCGATGAGGTCGGGGATGAGGGCGGCGTTGTCCATGTCGAGGAACTTCTCCATGAGCGGGTTGCACTGGTGGAACCGCTCGCCCAGCATGAGCCGCACCATCTCCTCCTGGTGCAGCAGCCCGGCCTTCACAATCAGCTCCGGCAGCTTGGGCGCCCACTGCATTGTTCGGAGTTAAAAAGTTTGTGTAAGCAAGCAAGACCATGATTGGCGCCAGGGGCAGTGGGGGATCAGTGGCTGGTGGTGGCTACCTGAATCATGCCCCAGTCGAGATTGTCGCCCTCCACGAACTGGACCATGCGCCCGGTGCCCAGAGAGAGCATGTGAATCCGCGAGGGGTCTTGCCTCTCCACCACCTGGGTCGTGTTAAAGACGTCCGAGTAAGTTTTCTAGAGGTGGGAGAAGAGAGAGAGAAGTGTGTGTGTGTGTGTCGTGCCTTTTCGCTCATGACCATGCTCAGGGCGCTGAGTGCGGGGTTGTTGACCATCACCGCTCCGTCCATGTGCTTGCCGTGGCTAGGGAAGTAGATGGGCGCCGCCGAGGAACTCAGCACGCACTTCCACAGCTCCTGCTCCTTCCACGCGCCCTCCTTGGCCTCGTATTCTGTCGTTGGAGGAATAAAACGCAATCAGCCAATGGCAATACTCCCGTGTGCGCGTGTGCGGTGTAAAAAGACTTACCGGCCTTCATGGGCAGGTTGTGGTAGATGCGCGGCTCCCAGCTCCGGTCGTTGCCCGGGGCTTCGTTGTCGAGCAGGAACGAGGGGATCACGACCTTACGCGGCAGGTCGCACAGCTTCATCCCCTTAAACACCTCCGCGCCGAACACCTCCAGCGGCTCGCGCGGGAACTTGGCCTGGTTGAGCGAAAACCTAAGATGTGTGTTCTGTGAGCGAACAGAACCGGTTATAACTCCGATTGGAGAGGGGCGTACCACTGTACAGAGGCCGCCTTCTGCTTGAAGCAGATGGGGCCGATCACCTTGAACATCTCCGTCAGGAAGTGAGGCGATCGTCCTGTGACAGTGAGAACCGATGAGAACGAAGAACGAAGAACGAAGAACGAAGAACGAAGAACGAAGAACGAAGAACGAAGAACGAGAAACAAAGAATGAAGAGCGAAGAAGATGGGAGGGCATACCTGTGGCGAGGCCGGCGGTGACCATAGAGCCGCCAGAGACGCCAACGATGAGATCGAATTTCTGCAGCAAATCCGGATAGACCTGTCCAACAGAATTACAGCATGAGCTCGCGTTGAATGCACGGTGGTGTGTGTGTGTGGTGTGTGTGTGTGTGTCACGACAGCACGGCAGGCAAGCAGGCGGGCCAGGAAAAAAGAATACGCACCTCGGTCAGCCGCGTAAGAATGACTGCTTCCATCACCGCTCGGAGACCACCGCCATCAAGCGACAGAATGCGATACTGGCCGTCCTTGGATCCAATATTCTCAAGCGGATAGTTGCCCACTACCAATCACGTCGTGTGGGCGGGTTCAAATGTTGTGGACCATTCGCGTGTGGGATGCGGTGACGTACGCGAACTCTTGCCGGTGGCCTGGTTGGCCTTCTCGCACAGGAGGCGGGCGCTGTTGATGAGCTCCGTCACAGGCGACGACGTTCGCGTGTTGACCTTGGCCGAACCCTGCTCGCTCATGAGCCCCTTCTTCGGTTCCTGCTTGGTGTGCGTTCGCGTGTGCTAGCGTCAGTAAGACTGGCGCATGATTATCGCAGCGGCACGCAACACTGCGGTGGGTACCTCGGCCGTTGCGGAGAGCCCATTGACTGCAGCGCCCGCGTACCCGGCAGCGCAGCTCAGCATCAGCATCTCCTTTCCTGGCTCTGCACAGAAGAAAAGACGAGTCGGAGTTAAAAAGATGCGGAACCTAACGTGAGCGCGGCACACGAGGGTGCGTACGCGAAGAAGAGGAAGCGCCATGCTTTCGGCTGAGAACGCGATTCCAGTAGTTGAGGTGCTCGTCGTCGGCGGTGTAGAGGCAGATGTTCATCTTCTTGCCATCGGTGACCGTTAGCGAGTGGTTGTAGTTTTCCAACACGTTGCGCACGTGAAACGACGTGCTCTTCTGCTTGGGTCGATTCACCCGCCCGCTCTCCGGACCAGTCACCGTCAAATCGGCGATCGGAATCGCACGCTACACGCACGACACACACGACACACAGGTCAACAATGCGTTCGCGAGAGACCAGAGAAGGCGCTCGTACGAATTTCTGGGGCTCAAACCACTCGAAGTAGTGGGCGTCGGCGATGCAGTAGTAGCGCTGCCACACCTTGGCCTTCTTGATCCACAGGAACCCGTTGATCATCTGCTTCCGCCGGCCCTCGAGTCCGCGGTCCCACAGGAACCGGGACCAGTCCTCCATCTCCTTCTTCGTGTCGGCCGCCATCTTGATCCGGGGCAGGGAGATGGTCTCGCGGCCCTTCTCCTTCTTCGGCCGGTTCTGCTTGTCGGTGGGCGACACGTAGACGTAGAACATCCAGCCCTCCTTGTTCTCGCACAGGAACTGCTTCACCGGCGAGGTGAGCGTTTGCTGGACCACCTCCAGCTCTCCCGCGTCGTCAGTCTGAGAAGAACAACCAACACCACGCAATCGGAGTTAAAAAATGGTGGTTCGTGAGCTGTGCTGTGTGTGTCGTGTGTGTACCTTCAGCACCTCGTCCTTGCCGATCACGGAGATGCGACCGCGCAGGCGCAGAGAGCACCAGGCAAAGGTGCCCTCGGACGCATCGGCCACCGCAACGTTGCGCGTCGCGCCGCTACCCACCACCGTCAATCCCACCACTCCGTACCACTGTACTGACACGACGCATAAAACTCGGTGAGCAATCGCAACAATTTGCATCCCGCCGTGGTGCGTCGGAAATTGCATTGGTCGCGCACGTACGCTGGAGAATGCAGTCGGCTCCTCGGACGGCACCAGCAGGCCGGTCTTCTCCAATTCCTGGATGTCGGCCGGACCCCACATGCTCTTGCTGAGCAGGGTCTTGGCCAGCAGGACCTTCTCGTCTTCGCCTGCGGCTTCCTCCTCGTCCGACTCCTCTCCTTCCTGCGGGACATGATCGATGCCATCAACATCAACATCAAGACCAACAGCGTCGCTAACGACGAGCTAACCACAAAACCGTCACGCACCTTAATGTCCGGCAGATCGACAAAGGTGGGCTCTCGCTGGGAGAAGGTGCTGCCTCGGCTCTTCTCGCCGTCCTCTCCGTCCGAGCCATCGGCTGTCGGCGCACAGTGTGTGAGTTCGTTCGAGCACACGCATTGGTTCAAAAAGAACGAAAGCGAAAGCGAAAATGAACGCGAAGGAATGAGAAAGAGTGAGAAGCGTGAGTTCACCTTCGAAGATGTTCTTGCGTTGGGAGGAGGTGGGCGACGAGGAGAGCATGCTCTGCGCGTTGTTGGTGCCCACGAGAATGGCCTCCATCCACTCGCGCCGCTCGTCGGCGCTCCTGGCGGAGAGGTACAGCACGCGGGGCTTGGGGTGCGCCAGCTGCACCGAGAAGTTGAAGCCCGCCCGCTTCAGGCCCTCCTCCACCTTCACCTCCGCACCTTCCAGCCACAGCGAATCCAGCGGCGCCACCTCCTACGCAGCTTCGGAGTCAGCTAAAATGCGTGTGTGCGTGTGTGTGCGCGATGGTGTGTGTGTGTGGTGTCGTGTCGTGTGCGAAGGCGGAAAAGGTACGTACGTTGACCCCCTTGTAGTAGTGGAGGTAGCCGAGCGCGTCGAGCTTGAACCATCTCTCCCGCCACGACTTCACCTTTTGCCCTGCGCCATTTCGTCAGCAAATTAAATTAATTATTCATTATTCATTATTTGTTATTCGGAAGTTAAAAATGAGATAAGAGGAAATAATTTATGGAAATAAATATTCGTTTCCTGCTTTGGATGTGTGTAAATGATTTAAATGTATATGAATAAATAATTTATATATCGGACATACCTTGCTTGGTGAGCCAGCCCTCCTTCTCCACGCAGCCGAGGTGCGGCGGCAGGGGTGGATAGTTTCCACCATCTTCGGTGGTGGCGCTGCGGCTGGTCGAAGATGACGGAGAAGAAGACATGTGCCCTTCTTTTCCTCCTCCTCCTCCGGCAGACTTCTTGAATCGATTCAGGAAGCTGCCACCCGCGGCAGCGGCGCCGCCGACGCTCGACGCCGACGGGTCGTCGATGGCCTTGTTGATCTTCTTGACGTCCTTCTTCACGCCCTTCACCTCCTTCTTCACATCTTTCACTTCGTGCTTGAGCTCCTTGACGTCGACGCCCAGCTCCTCCTTGATCCCGGCGCGCACCTCCTTCTTGATGTCCTTCTTCACGTCCTTGACCTCGTGCTTGATCTCCTTCTTCACGTCCTTCGTCACGCTCTTGAGCTCCTTCTTGGCCCCCTTCTTGGCCTTGTGCTCCGCCGCGTCGGCCGTGTCGCTGAACGCCTTCCGGACCACCGCGTCAAAGTTCATCTTTCTCTCGCCGCCCCTCTTTTTTTTAACAAACTAGAAAAAAAGATTAAGATGAGGGCGGTGCCTGAACTGCAGTGTTGAAAGAGAGGAAAAGAAAAGGAATGTGTGTTGTGTGCACCCTTCCAGGTATGGGGCTATTCACCCAACTTAGGTCATCGACCAATGAAAAAACACCCAAAAATAAATATTATTTATTTCGGATTTTTGCAGACATTATCTTGGTGGCAATTTGGGTCCTCCAGCCCCACTGGAGCAACCACACACTTTGCCGCACTCACGCTCACTCCCCTCCCTCCTCACGCTCACTCCCCTCCCTCACGCAAGAGACCGCCCAGCCCGAAGACAAAAATGAGTTCTTCGGTCCCCATGCCCCGTACGGCCGCCTCCTTACACGCCCCTATTTATTTTTATCCTTGATTGCAACGAAATCTTTTATTTAATCTTTTTTTTGATTAATCCATAATCTAAATATTTCTTCGTACGCCAGTGGCTCCCGAGCTGCGACAGGCCTTCACTGCCGGCCACCGTGCCATTACTGTACAAATAGTCGATGGTACCTCCCCAAACCGTTCCTTCAAGCCTCTACTCTCATCATCTTACCAATAAGAATTCTAATAATAAATATTTTGCAGAAAACCTGAAGCTGGGCGCCACCCTGCCCAAGGGTAGCTCGGAGGCCGCAGGTTCGCTCCCTTTCTTTCCCTTTATTTATTTATTTATTTATTATACTTATTTTGCAATTTTTTCAACGTAAAATTAACAACTTAAATAATTGGTGGTTCCGCGTCGGACGTCAAGACTTTGACAAGCTGAAGGGCCTGGTGTCGGCCGACGCGCCGTGCTACCTCCTCTTCCACCTGTCGTCGCCCTCGGGCTGGCTCATCATCACCTACATCCCCGAGACCGTCAAGGTGAGCGACAAGATGGTCTACGCCGCCACCAAGTCCCGCCTGAAGACCGAGCTCGGCAACCACACTTTGTCGACGAGATGCACGCCAACGAACCCGTACCGCACACACACAATACACAAATACACACACACACAAACACACAAAACACACAAACACACAAACAAACACACATTCCTTTTGCAGCATTCCTTTGCGCATTCCACACTCACGTGATGGGCTGGTGGGGTGCAGAGTGATCTGGTGTGGTCGAGCTACGCGGGCGCCAAGGCCTCGCCGGTGCCCTACAGCCGCAGGGAGAAGGCCGTCCACGCCCTCGTACGCTCCTCTCGCCTTGACAAGTACTCGCGGGCTGGCGCTGACGTGGTGGTGGTGGTGGCGGCGGTGGTGGGGGCACACGTGCAGGACAAGGCGGAGGCCGACGCGCGGGTGGAGTTCAACACGCACAGCGGCAACAAGTCGTCGGGTTACCACACGGTGACCCTGCCCTTCACCGAATCCGCCACCGCCGCCCTGGAGGAGCTCAAGCAGGGCACCGTCAACTTTGTCGAACTGGTAACCTCCAGACGTGTGTTTCCTGCGTGTCGTGGTGTCGTGTGCGGCTCGCTGACCGTGCACGATCAGAAAATTACGGAGGCGAAGAACAGCATCGAGGCGGTGGGCACGAAGACTGTCGAGGTGTCGGAGCTCTCGTCGGTGCTGCCCGAGGACGAGCCCCGCTTCTGCTTCTTCCACTGGGCCAACGCGCCCGCCATCAGTGCTGCCAGCGCCGCCGCCAGCGCGACCACCCGCTCCACCGTCACACCCATCACCGGCTCCTCCGTCTCGTCCCTCTCCGCCAGATTCGAGAACACCGGCTCTTCTTCGGTGCGCCTCCATTCCATCTCGTGTGTGTGTGTGTGCGCTGGTGTGTGTGGTGCGTGTGCCTGAGAGTCAAGCTCACGCGATCTCGCGAAGCAGGGCCAGTCCTACAACCAGACGGGCGGCTACCGTGCGGCCGGCGGTTTCGTCGCCCCGGGCGGCCTGCGCAACTCGGGATCGACCGCCACCGCTACCGCCTCGTCGTCGTCGTCCTCCGCCTCGGCGAGTGCTGTCAACACCTCCAAGATCTGTGCGTGTCTCCCCTCTACGCCACGCTCTCAGGAGAGGTGAGTGATTAGCTCAAACACTCCAATTGACTCCCGCGCGCTGTGCCCACAGTCTTTATCTACTACTGCCCCGACAAGTCGCCGCCCCAGCTGCGCATGGTCTACTCCACAGCCAAGCCCGCCGTACGCGACACATACACACCACACCACACACACACACACACAACCACACACACACACACACACACATACACAACCAATGGTACACAACCTCCGTGATGCGTGCATACGTTGCAGGTGGCTTCGTCGGCGGAGCCAATCGTGGGTCAGATAAGGCGCAAGGTCGAAGTGTGCGACAGAACGGAGCTCACCGAGGAGTACATGCGCTCGACCGCCGCCGCTCCCGGTACTTTTTTTCGTTCCGCTAACGCTACTTTTTTTAGCTCCGAAGGAAGAAGCTGCACTACTTACCCGCTACCCCCCCCCAACCGTGCAGCGAGTCCCTATTCGAGCCCCTACAACAGCCCACTGCAGGCTCGCCTGAATGCCAGCCGAGGCACCGCCGGGGGCTCGCAGCTGGGCTCCTCCTCCAACAAGACGCTCCAGGTACACCCCAGGCACACCCGCGTTAATTCGTTGATTACCACCTTTGGCACATTTGGCCGCACTCACCACATGCGGCTGCAGGGCCACCCGGTGTACACCATGGGCGCGCCGACGGTCAACGTGGGCGGCAAGTCGAAGCGCATCGTCATCCCGCCTTCCGTCGCTTACCACGGCTGAGACACGCAAGTGTTACCGCAGCCCACCTCCCCAATGTGTGTGTACGGCGTCGGCTTTTGTGTGTTTCTTTAGCCGAAAGGTTGGTTGTTGTTTTGGTACACTCTACGAAGGTTGGGCTGAGAAAAGATAGGAGGAAGAGGGCAACCTCAGACGGGCGAGGCGTCCTGCTTGGCGCCGCCTGCGCCGCCGCCGGTCTCGCCGAGGAGCTCATCGAGCCCCTCCATGACCTTCTCCATCGCCGGCCGCTTGCCGGCGCTCTTGTGCCAACAGCTCTTGATCAGCTTCTGGAACTTGGGCTGACAGTCGTCGGGGATCTGCGGCCGCCGGCCCTCCAGGACGTCGAGCGACACGCCCATGAAGTTGCGCCCGCCGTAGGGCTGCTTCCGCGTAAGCACCTCCCACATGATAATGCCGAAGCTGTACACGTCCGCCGTCTCGCTGTACTTCTCTCCGCGGATCACCTCCGGCGCTATGCACGCAATCAATCGAACACGAGTGTTAGCCGTGTGCGTGGTGCGTGGTGGTGCGTGGTGGTGCGTGGTGCGTGGTGCGTACCGGTCCAGCAGGGCGTGCCGCAGCGGGTCATGGTGGCGTTCTCCTCTTTGATGCGCGCGAAGCCGAAGTCGGCCACCTTCAGGCTCCAGTCCTCGTCGACGAGCAGGTTGGACGGCTTGAGGTCGCGGTGCACTATGCTCAGGGAGTGCAGGTAGGCGATGCCCTTTGCCGCGCTCTTGAGCATAGACAGGCGCTGGCGCCACGGCAGCTTGATGCTCGCGTCGTGCAGCACCAGCTTCAGGTCGCCCCGCGCCACGTACTCGGTCAGGATGCTCAGGTTGGGCCTCTTGATGCACGCACCTGCACCACCCACCACAACACACGTCAGCTCGTCGTGTCGTGTCGTTGGTCGTGTTGTTGGTCGTGTCGTGTACCGATGAAGAGGACCACGTTGGGGTGTTGGAGTTCGGAGAGGAAGGCCATCTCGGCGCGGAACTCGAGCATGCGCCGCTCGTCAATCTTTTGGTTGATGAACTTCTTTACGGCCACGTCGACGTTCTTCCACTTGGCCCGGTAGACCACGCCGTAGGAGCCCATCCCGATCTGGTCGCCCAGCTGGACGTCCTGGTAGTCGATCACCCACCGGCACAGGTTGGCCGACATGAGGAACGAGTCCTCGGGGAAGGCCAGGTCGTCGCCCACCACCGACCTCACCGCACCGTCCGTCGAGCCCGACGCGCCGCTCCGCGTGTCCGACGACACCCCGCCGAAGAACCGCGCCTCCAGCCCGCGCACCTTGAGCTCGTACAACTTGATATCTGTACCGACGCGCGCGATAAATGTTAGATGACGAGGATGAAGAGGATTATGATGATAAAGATGTTGACGATGATGATGATGATGATGATGATGATGATGATGATGACGATGATGATGAGAACGAATAAGGCACCTTGGGCTTCGGTGACCTTGATCTTGCCGAGGGAGCGCAGCCGGCCCTTCTCAAGGACGAGATCAGAGTCGCGCGCGCTATCGAAGGCGGCGGCGGTGATGATGATCTGGCCGCCGTGGGTCATGGCCGTGATGCGCGCGGCGGTGTTGACCACGGGACCCGTGTAGCTCACGCGCCGGCTGGTGGGGTCCTTCACGGACTTGGTCGCGCCGTAGTCGACGCCCATCCGCACGCGGAGCCCGCGGAAAAGCACGCGGTCGTCGGTGTTGCCGCACTCCTCGCCGGCGCCCGGGTGCTCGAGCAGCCGCGCGGGCCAGTCCACCTCGAGCAGCTTGACCTGCGCGGCCGAGCACCACTCGAGCGCGTCGGTCGTGTCCTGGAACGCGACGCAGAAGGAGCCCTCGCCGTCGTTGAAACGGTCCTTGGCCGACACCACCTCGTAGCCGCCGAACTTGCGGATGAGCGACCGCAGGACGTCGTTGTGCAGCAGCGTGGCGTCGCGCATGGCCTCGGGGTCGTGCTGCCACAGGGTGGCCGCGCGTGTGATATCGGAGAACACGATCGCCATCTCGCCGTGCGGCGGCCGCCCCGGTCCCGCGGCCACGGCGCCCGAGAGGCCACTGCTGTTGTCGTCGTCATCGCCCGACGTAGAGGAGTGGCCCGACGGCAGGGTCCACGACCCATTGACGTCCTTGCCGTGCACCCGGCTCGACCCGGACGTGGAGCTGTGGCTGGTCGAGGTGCCAACGTCGGTGCTGAGACGGGTCATGATCTCGAGGAACGTGGGGCGGATGACCGGGTCCTGGTGCCAGCAGGCCGTCATGAGGTCGATGTAGTCCACCGGGGCGTCGTGAGTGTTCGGCACCTCCGGCCGCAGCTTGTCCCTCAGCACTGCCACCGCCACCGCCGCCGGGCTGTCGCCGACCACGCATGCTTAGGTGTGAGAAACATGGCTCGGAGTTAAAAAAAACTGTCAAAGGGGTGTACCTAAGTCCGATGTAGGGCTGCTCGCGCGTCAGAAGCTCCCAGAGGACGATGCCAAAGCTGCGCCGTGGCACCAACAACAACAACAACACGAGGTGAGTCTGGCTGGCCTCTCGCCGCCAAAAGAAAACGGGTGGTGTGGTGCGCACCTGTAGACGTCAGAGAGAATGAAGTCGGTGCTGGGCGACTCGGCCAACACCTCCGGGGCCGTCCAGTATATGGAGCCCACGGCGATGTCGGTCTCCTTCTCCTCGCGCAGCTTGGTGAGGCCAAAGTCGCTGATCTTGACGTTCCACTTGGCGTCGAGCAGGATGTTGAGCGACTTGAGGTCGCGGTGCACCACGCCGGACGAGTGCAGGAAGTGCATGCCCTTGGCCGCCTGGTAGGCCATCTTGGCCCGCAGCTGGTGCGGGATCACGCTGATGAGCTCATTGTGCAGCAGCTAAGATCGCCATGCACGAGTCGCATCCCCCACACAGGAGTTAGTCCCACGCTTCGCATTTTTCGGACTTGTAAAAAGAGAAGAACGAAAAAGAAAGATAGAGGCGTACGTCGAAGAGGGAGCCGAGGGACATGAACTCCATGACGATGGACATCTGGGGCTTGACCGAGGCGGCCATGAACAGGACCACGTTGGGATGGCGCAGCTGGCTCATGATGCGCATCTCGTTCAGGAACTGCTGGCGGGCGGCCTTGGAGTCGCTCACCTCCTGCGTGAGCATCTTGACCGCCACCTCCTGGTCGCGCCACGTGGCCTTCCACACCTGACCGAAGGAGCCCTCGCCGAGCGGCTGCTGGAGGTCGAGCTCGTTGGCGTTGATCATCCACACCTCGGAGTCGCGCTTCTGGGACCACCGGCGGCGGAGGAGCACCAGCAGCAGCAGGCCCAGGCAGAGCAGGCCGAGGAAGCCCAGGCCGATGGGGAGCGCGATGGCGAGCGCGATGGTGATGTCGCTCGACGAGCTCGAGTGGGCGGTGTTGTCCACCTCGCAGACGCTACCGCTGAAGCCCTCCGGGCACTGGCATACGCCGCCCAGGCAGGTGCCCACGCCGCTGCACATGGCGTCGGTGGCACCGACCGAGGAGTTGCTGGCGAAGCAGGTGCGCCGGGTGAGCGACGTGGTCGAGATACGCACCTCATCCGGCGGGTCCATGGGCGAGATGGCGCCGATGTAGTCGGCGTAGACGAGGTCCACGGTGCGGGTGCCCTTCTGAAGGTTGGTGCCGTGGGCGGCCATGTCGGTGAAGCCGAGGCCGCCGAAGTAGAGGAAGTCGATGGTGGCCACGCTGTAGGCCTTGTCCATGACCAGGTACTCCCACACGCCGGGCGCCACCTCGACCTGCACGTCGACCACGCGCAGGCCCACCTGTTCGGCCGGGTTGTAGGTGAAGTTGAGGCCCGACACCTGGAGGTAAGCCACGGCCGAGAGCGAGGCCTCCGAGCTCTCGTTGAGCATGCCGAGGCCGGTCTCCAGCGTCGACACGATGTACTTGCCCAGCAGGTCGAAGGTGAACACGTAGTTGATGTAGAACGGGAGCGTGCGCACGATGTTGCCCTGCGTCACGTTGCCCTGCGAGAAACCCGCGCGCAGGCCCGCGCCGTCGAACAGCCCGATCTGGGTCTGGCCGGCCCACTTCATGCCGTCGGCGGCCCAGTTGCCGATGGTGCACTGCGCGAACAGGCACCGCTTCTGGAAGCCGAACTCGCCCGTGGCCTCGCCCAGCACCTGGCCGTAGATGGAGTCCACCGTCACGAAGCGGTCGATAATGTTGGCCGACAGCGCCGCGTCGTTGGCCACACTCTCATCGAGCAGCACCGTGCCGCCGCTCCATGACGTCAGCACGCCGAGGCTGTTGAAGGTCAGGTCGAGCCGGCCCAGGCGTCGGCCGTCGTAGCCGGCGCCCACCACCAGGATCGGCTGCTCCCACGCGGCGTTCACCACCGTTGGGTAGCCGCCGGCCACCGTCTCGTAGGCGCCCACGTACGTGCCGTTGGTGTAGAGCTGGCCCGGCACGATCACTACGTCGATCCCTTGCACCGACTCCAGCACTGTGCCGGGACGCAGAATTTGTTCAGGAAAAGGAGCGGTCCGTTAAGCTCATTGCGACGAAATTTCAAGCTTGTGCCGGCAGAGTTTCGGCCGCGGCGAAAACCCACAGCTGATAATTTGAAACACACAAAAGGGAAGACCACACGGGCACACAGTGGTAACCCCGGAATAACAGCACCAGCGGAGAAGATCTGGAAAAAGATTGAAGATGATGAAGAAAGAGAAGAGGAAGAGCTGGAGTGGGGTGTTGGGTTTTTACCTGAGGCGAGAACAAAGTTGCTGGAGACGGCGACGATGATCTTGTTGACGCCCATGTTCTGCATGATGCCCACGGCCCGGCGGATGCCGGCCACCTCGTTGGTGGCCGACGTGTTCTGGGGGAAGCTGAGCAGCGTCGACAGGTCGCCGTTGATGCCGGCCGTGAAGCCCACCAGCTCCCCGCCGCTGTAGTTGAAGGTGGTGAATGCCGGAATGGTGAGGTCCCGGAACTCGCGCTGGGCCGCCCAGTTCAGGTTGGCCTCCACGACCACGGTGCCCTGGGCGGTCATGTTGGCCACAAAGTGGGCCAGCGGCCCGAAGCTCAGGATGTACTCGCGGTAGTTGAAGTGGATGGCGTCGTAGTCCATCGCGCCCATGAAGTAGTACACCGCCTCCTCGCCGTAGGTCTTGAACACGAGCGAGCCCGTGTCGTAGTCGCTCTGAAACATGTTGCCCGCGTCGAGCAGCAGCACGGGCCTGCCGGCCGCGGCGCCCTCGGCCCGCGCGGCGTCGACGGCGGTCTTGAGGCGCGGCATGCCGCCGGTGCAGGGCGGGGCGGCGGTGTCGGCGTAGGCGTAGGCCGCGGCGGTGGTGTTGTAGAGGAGGGTGCACGGGTTGTCGTTGTTGTCGACGGCCACGGTCTGCGCGGCGAGGTCGCTCGTGTGGAGCAGCGTGAGCGAGAAGCCGCTCACTACACCTCCGCTTCTGCCTCCATGCTGTGCTATTGACAGCAAAAAGATGAAGGTGAAGAAGTTGAAAGAGTGAAGGGGGAAGGAGAAGGAGAGTCGAGGCGCCACTCGAGGTCGGGGGAGGGCAGCCATCGTGGAGCTGCTTCTTCCCACGAGAAATGTTGTTTCTTTTGGTGGTCGTACTGCTGGCGAAAAGAGACGGTGGAGTTACGCGGCAAAGGCGAAAACGTGGCGACCCGAAGACCGTTGGCCCAAACTAAAAAAACTGGCCAATGGGCGCACCTGAACAAAGGAAATGCATGGCACGCAAGCAACGGAAATTCCCTACTGGTACCACCCGATTGCTGGGTGAGCCTCTTTTCAGACTATTGACGAGCAACGCGGAGCTCCAGATCTCCGAGTGGTTGAGCTGACACTCATGTTCGCCGCGCGCCAGTTGGT